TGCCCAGACTAACAGATAACTGGTTAAGTTGGGAGCTAACATTTTTCAGGTTGGATCGAATATTTCACGCAATCGCTCAAATATATTGTCCAATCTGGATTCCAATCGTTCCATAAGTTTTTGCAGCAAAGTATCATTAATTTGAAATCTGGTTGTCACCTCCATGGCCAAGATCACAGCTTTGATACCGCTGATGCGTTCTCTTTCTTATGGACTGCAAATTTTGTAACTGAAATAGAAAAATGAAAGAACAAAGAAAGGAATAGAGAAGTAAGCTAGAGAAGGAGAAGAAGAAATTTCAAGGAGAAGGAAGATTCATTTCATTCCACGTAACAAAATCCATACAATTCCCGTGCTTCTATCTTTAAGCTGGTCTCACAACAATGCCAGCTGTAAACTTCCATTCTCCCCACTACACAGCACACTCACTCCCTCCAACTGAATGACAGTTGAGCAATAAGGAAAAGGCCTTAGCCATGCAATTGGTAAAATGAAAAAGGCCCAATTCAAGAATTAAAAATAGCAAGCCCATCACAAAATCAAATACAATAAATTGGCAAGATTCCCGTGACGAATCCTCTGACCTCGTCCCCGACGAATAACCCCAAAACACTAATTCAAATCCCACCGCGCCCGGTCTACCTGTTCGTAGGCACTGCCACAGAAAAGATCCATTGTCTTGTCTCTGCCAATATGTAAAGCTAGGTCCTAATAATAAGATCCATTGTCTTATCTCTGCCAATATATAAATTTAGGTCCTTGGTTTGACGAACTTAAGCTTCAAATTTCCCTTTACCTTGATTTTAACTGTTGTATTGCTTATGGTAGAAAGAAAATGGATGCAAAAGTTAGTTATCATACTTGTTCAGTCAATTTGCCCTCCAGATGTCACCCTGCAACGAAAAATTTAGAGGAACATTTGTACATGTTAAAGGCCTCAAAAGTGACATAAAAAACAATATGCCACAAGTTAAGCGGTCTTTAAGTTTTGTACAAGTCTGTTGATGATATGCTTGAGATGCCACTCATTCAACGAGCTCTCTCCCATGAACAAATGACAAATGGATAGAAAATGTGTTTGATGGATCCCTTAGGGTGTTAGATGTGTGTGGAACCACTAGAGATGTCTTGTCGAAAATAAAAAAGAGAGTGTTCAAGATCTTGAATCATCTGTCAGAAGAAAAAGAGTTCGAGAAACTGGCCTTCTTGGAGAGCTAAAAATCTACATGATCATTACCAAAACCATGAAGAAAGAGGCTTCCAAGTGTCTCAAGAACTTGAAGAAAATTAGAAAGGAACAGAGCTCAGTTTTTCTAGACAAAGGCAGCAATCTAGCGGCTATTATTAGCATTCTAAAGGAAGTAGAAGAAATCAGCCTCTCAGGGCTTGAGTCCATATTGTTTCCATTTCTGAACCAAAGGCAAGGTCAAGGCCAGGCCCTTGGTCTTTGGTTTCAAAAGCTATGCGACCAACACGTATAGCACGTGAAGGATTAGAAGGGAGTTTCAATGAAATGGAAAAAAAAAAAAAAAGAATTATGTCCTGATTGCGTTAACCGGTCAGAAGCTAAGCAAGCAAACAATTGCTGAGCAATTGCTGACTTTACCGAAACTGCAAGAAGCATTAGACTTGAGGACCAAGGCCTTGAGGATGGAATAGAGAGAATGTTCAGGCAGCTTTTGAAAACCAGAATCTCTCTTCTTAATATTTTGAGCCAGTAGCAATCCAATTGTCTTTGTTACAATACAAAACTATATCATCTCCAGTGGTGTCCTAATTTTTGAAAGGAATTGCCATCTAACTTTTCCGGTATCTTGTAAATTATCCTACATCATGTGCTTATGATTTGTCAGTACAAATTCATGCTATAATTATCCTTTCATTGATCTCATATCTTTTGTTGAAACACTTTAATTTCAAATCGAGAGATTATAAAAATTTGATATAATATATAAGTTAAGAATTAAACTTAAACTTATAAAATATTTTTATAAAATAAAATTGTAAGATTTTGAATTAAAATAGATAATATTTTATAAATTAAATATAAATTTTTATAAATAGTATCAAAATAATTATCTATTGAACGAAAATTAAATGTCGTATCGTTAGAGCTACCATGGATGTAAGTATATAAAGCTGTAAAAGGCTTTGATAACATTTCCTTTACAAAACAAGCTTTATATTAAACCTTTTGTCAACACAAACATGCAAAAAGGTGAAAGTAGAATATCAGCTTTTGGCTTTCGCTGTTGGCCAGAAACTACACTCTGCCTACATAACTAGTATAGCCAAATACTAACAACTAACCGGAGTTTGGTTAAGGTGCAGAGTTAGAATTTTCCTCTTTAGCCAAAGTTAGTTTATAACTACATCTTTGCTATTTCAGACAAAATTATCATTATTGTATTTAGGTAGGCACCTCCTGTAGGACCTGTACCATAGTCTATGATGAATTGTCGGTTTCTTAATTTCCACTGGCCATAATTAATCCACGACATGAGAGACACCTTGCAATCATGTTTGTGGTTTGGCATTGCTCAAGAACGAACATTGGGCTACTACTGAACCCTCCTCACCATAAAAGCTTGTTGAAAGTCAGTGACGGGACCATTGTAATTTGAGACCAACCCAAACCGCCAGCCTCCCTCCCTCCCAAATTTCAATGAAAAGGAAAAATAAAATAAAATAGAATAAAAAGTGGACCATGGGCAGTAATAGTCATTGAGTTTAATTGACCCTTGGGCTTATCATCCATGACCCATTGGTCCAACACTGAAAATTGCGATCAATGATGCATCACCTAACAAAGGGAAATCCAGTGGTTATATTGTGAAGTTCTCGTATGAAAATTGCTATCAAAGATACATCACCTAACGAAGCCAAATCCAGTGGTTATATTGTGAAGTTCTCGTATGATCAATAGTTGAAATTGAAAAGTGACAACACCAGAAACGATTGTCAGAAGATCTTGAAGCGTTTCATCAACGCATGAGAATGGCGTGGAACTGTAGATGCCAGCCTTGCCTCTCCATTCTCTGCCCTACTAATTCAGATCAGAGTGGGTTACGAAGGAGATAAATAGCTGCGAATTTAGGCGTTTAGCAGAACATGGCTGACCTCATTGCACATCTCTTTAATTTTGTAGGGGCCCAAATAAGCCCCAACTAGTTGCAATTCGAATGGGCCCAACTGACAGTGACTACCGGAAGGACCAGTGTCTCATTATGCAATCCCAAAAAACTTTTCTGAACTTTCCCAAGTCCAATAGCACCCACAGACCACAGCCAACCCTGTAATGCAAAGATCATGTTAGTGGAAAAAACTGGGTGGGTTATTTCAGTGGAGGGGAGTGAAGTGTGGAGAAGAAGTAATTCTTTGATGTCTGATACAGAAATATTTTCTTGTCACATTCCCTTTGTCTCAACTCCTTTGGCATTTTCCCATTCATTCTTACTCAAAGTGAAGACATTTTGTATCAGGGTTTCCCTAGTCTATTAAATTTTGACGAGTCACAATTGTCACGTGGGGATACATCCGTAAGCCCATTGAATATGGACTCTCCATGATTAGCTGGATCCTCCAAGCGCATCCGACGAGACATTCCCCACTGCAAACAAACAATCTCTGTTGTGACCGTAACGCGTGGGCCTCTACCTCTCGCTATTGAAGGGGTTGTTTGCTTGTTTTGGTGGTAAAATTAACATGTACATTCATCATCATATAATATATATTTTTTATATTTGAGATTATTATAATTAAATTTTAATAATTAAAATTAAGAATTTAATATTAATTCTTTAAGGTAAAAATTAGCAATTGTCTTTTTTTATATTTTAGAAAAAAAATATGTACAAAATTGTAACATACACGTAATCAATTGAATAAAAAAATTTATAGACATAATCCAAAACTAAATTATATTTGATTCATGATATCATCTGGCGCAATCATGTGAGGCAAGTGATGATAGAAAACAAATAAGTGCTATATTAGGGGTTTTTAAATGTCAAAGCTCAGAGAATAAGAGTTTGACAGGGAATGATAAAACAAGAAGGAAGTGGCAGCATATGATGCTGCTAAAGACAGATCAAAACAACTGACATGGAAAAGTTTCCGCGCATTATAATAATAATAATAGTAAGAAGAAGAAGAAGAAGAAGAAGAAGAAGAAGAAGGGACTGGCGAGGTCGCTGGAGTTAGATATGCCACAGTTCGGATTAGGAACGCGTGAACTGGTACACAAGAAGCAATGATGCCATCACGTACGAAGAACTCAGTATCTCAAATGCCCAAGGGCCCAAAGCATTTGTTCCGCCCTTGCGGTTACTACTTACTATAGTGTTTTCCACTTTTTAGCCTTTGATTTAGATTTTTCTTTTCTTTTGGTTGAATTTTGACGATGGACAGTCAGCCTTTTTTTTTCTTTAATAATATTTGATAGACTTTTCATAATCAAGACAAAAGCAAGAGAAAATTCAAAATAGTATACACTATACTGAATCGAAGGCCATCAAATTCAGAAAGATATAATGCAAGTGGAAATTGGAAACTCTAGCCCTCGAGACTGCCTTTTCACGGATTGTTAAGCCGCCATAATTACTTTAGTTATTTTCAGGCCACTCATCATTCCCTGCCAGTATATCCTTTCTCCAATCAAATTAAAGATACTCTCTTGACAGGGAAATTCATAAAAAGCTAAAGTAGAATAAAAATACAAGAAAATACATATGAATTATGGCTTTGCCAAGCTTTTTCTACCACTTCTGGTAGATTGGAAGTACTACAGTGTATAGACCCTCCTCTTTCACAGTAACTATTCGGTATTCACTGTTGATGGCAGAAAATTTCTTTTGGGATCATGATTTTTGATGTACTGCACATGAAACTAAAAAGAGCTGTGAGAATACTCCATCATGGAATCATTATCTCCAAGCTCAAAAGTTTGCAAGGAAGAGTGTGAAAGAGGGATATCTGCAGCAGAATAGAGACAGCAGGCATGGAAAAGAGCACAAAAAGCTGCTTTTTTTTTGTTTTTCCTTCGTGTTATTTTCCTAGGAACTTTTACAAAATATAAGCATCTATATGACAAAGAAAATCCCACTTGCCATTATCATCCAATACAAGGAGTTAACAACAACTTTGCTTAATTTGTTAATTTTTTTTTCATCCCATAGATTTTCCTCCTTTCTATCCTAGAGTAATACAGTACATACAAAAATTGAAAGGAGAACCCTAGCTAGTTGCAGACTTACATAATTTGCTGATCAGAAAATCTCAAAAAAAAAAAAAAGGCAACAAATAAAAGGAAAGAGAGACCTTTGTCCTCTTTCACTAATTAACGAGCAATAATTTCAGTTTACAAAGATGAATTGAGCTCCAATTGTTCAGCCTCCCATCTCGCCTTAGCAACAACTCCACCATGCATTGGCACGTATTCCTATTCCAACCAAACACTATCGTAAGTTTCGGAGCATATATATATATATATACAATAATTCAACAAATAATTTGAATAATTGACCTGTGATTTATGCTACTGTGAAACGTTGAAAACCCACCTCAAGCTTTTGGACAAGTTCTCTTGCAGTTGGAGCGGAGACAACGATATTACGTTGGGATGGTTTAATGAAGCCATCATCCACGGCTTTGTCTAAGAAGGTGAGCAGATAATTGTAGTAGCCATCCACATTAATCAAGCCAACCTTTTGTCATGATATGAAACAGAAAGAGTTAAAAAGTTGGTATAAATCTAGAAACCAGTTTCAAGCCAATAGATTTATGATGAGACATGAAATGGCTTTACAGGCTTGTCGTGGATTCCAAGCTGGGCCCAGGCTATGACTTCTAATAACTCTTCAAGAGTTCCATATCCACCTGATTAATTCAGAACAAACAATAAATTATTTAGGCATGGCATAATAATTTATTAGATTATTGAGTTTAAAAGAGAGATTGAGACTTGAGAGGGACCCGGTAAGGCGATAAAACAGTCAGAATGGCGGGCCATTTCAGCTTTCCTTTGGTGCATGTCCGCAACAGGTTTGACCTCTCCTACTGTTTCCCCAGTTATCTGGTTAACGAAAAAGGAAGCATATTAATTCATCATGGTTTAATGACGTACCCGATAAGGGTCTTTAGATTATGAAAGAAGAAAACCAAATAGAAAAATTGTATAGACCTCTTTGCTCATCAGAGTTTTGGGGATAATTCTGTGGATAATTAAAGAAAGAAAATCAACAAACAATATACAGGCATATCTATAACAAGAAACGAATTCAGTAACTGAAAAAGAATTAAATCATATTCAACCAGGAACACATTTACGCGGATATGGGGCATATGTATCCATACCCTATAACATGTCCTCCACCTCGGTGGACCTCCTGAGAAACCAAACCCATTAGCCCGACACTTCCTCCTCCATAAACAAGATCCAACCTCCTGGAGACCTTGAGCCAAGAAAAGGGAGTAGCTTAGTTAAAAGTTGTTAGCAAGCTTGTTGATGGTGTTTTGAGAGATGGTTGACCTGAGTGAGTAAGTAATTATAATAAAGCTGATCAAAAAGAAAAAGAAGCATTGAAGAAGAGAATATATACCAGTTCTTTGCCCAGCTCAAGGGCAGCATCACGATAGCTGTTTCGCTTGCCGGAGCTGCTTCCACAAAAGACACAAACCCTTTTGAACTTGCTGGAAGTCACTGCTTTATTCTCCTCCATATCTCTGTTTTCTCTTCTTTTGGTGTGTAATATTCTACCGCTCTTTCTATTTGACTGATTTAACCTAAAGCTAAAAGCTAATGGGTATTTCCATAGATTCCTGAGGCAAAGGAGGACTGAATACCAAAAGAGGAACATGGAACTACACCATTTATAGGATGCCCAAAATTGTACTACTGATCATTTTATTATGAGTGGAATCCTGTTGTGCCACGCGGGTCTCAAAACCCCGAAAATTTTGCTTTACCAAATTCGCCGACAGGTTTCATTATGCACCCATCCACTGGTTTCACTCCGTGTTTGATAACATTAGGGGTGTAAAGGTGTTGATCTTGACGTAGCTTTATTATATTTGTGATATGTTAGTTTATTTTAGGAGTGTTTGGGATCAACATGAGTTTGGTTACAAATTTTGTAATTAATTCCTTTAGATTTTAAAATATTCAAAATTAATTTGGAATGGACTTATTAAATTTAAATGAGATAGTTTGTAAATATTAAATGAACGGATTTATGAATATATAAATGAATTGATAAATAATTAAAAATATATTCATAAACAATTATAAATTTATAACATATATATACTACCAAAAATAAATAATATGCTTCAATAATTCTACCTCCAGCACGCAAAGTTGAAGCCACTATAATAATAATAATAATAATAATAAAAATATACAAGATTTTACGAGTAATTTCCCTTCCACGACTCTAAGGCACTGTCGTTATTTTGTCCTTAACTATATAATAAATCCATGTGAAGAAAATACTATAAGCCAGCAGATATCAACTACTATATGTCTTTTATTTAGTCATAGTACGGGCTACATATTTTGTTCCCTTAGTCAGCCTTAATTAATTTTGAGCAGGAATGTGAGAATAACTTCAGATAATTAATTAGTTCATGAGCATCGAATTATTATTAAAAATAAAATAAAATAACTTCATATAAAATCTATCTCGGAAAACAACTTAAATTAAACAAACATTTTTTACTTGATGAATAGAGAAGCAAAATGAACGCTTGGTTCTGCTAGCCAACTGGTATTAAACATATCGGTTTTAAACTGGGAAATGATACGTGGCCGCCGTCAGGGAAGTTGGTTGGCAAATTGAAGGCCCATTTTATATATATATATATATATATATATATATATAACTTATTTAAAAAATATTTGATAAAAATTTTAATAAGAAATTTAAATTAGTAAATTTTAATATAAAATAGATAATATTAAAACATTATTAAAATATTTTAATAATATTTTATATTTTTGTTAAAAATATTTATCTAAAAAATATATTAAAATTTGACTTTTCCGACACTCTTGATCCTTTCTTTCAGCGTCGACTGTTACCGTACTATTACCAAATAATAATGCCACACGTGGAAAAGATAAGATACAACCGACAAATTTAGGCTTACCTTCTTTTTTTTAATTAAAAAAAAAAGTTAGGAGGTGGAGCTGACAATGCCTGGTTTGAAAATTTGGGCTGGTAAAAATAAGTTTGACTAAGATTTCAGGCTTTCAACAAAACGAATTTGCGTCCTTTTCGGGATTTAAAAATAATTAACTCATTCATTATTGTCACCAAATATGAACAAGAATCCAAAAAATTCCAAAGTGTCGAACCAGTATTAATCCACACGGAAGAATTTTTATTCGACACAGTAGCATAGTTGCCATTTTCTTCAACGAAAATAAGTTTCTTCAGTTGAAAATTAATGTAGGTGATGAAGAAATTAAATAGACAACGATGTGTTGGAAAGTCTTATCCTTAACATGATTTTCAACTTTCTCAGCCAATCAGTTAATCGTAGGGAAACACTCGTCTTGGACCTACATTCCAGTTTCTTCCACAGCTTCAAGGTCACCCAGGGCTCCACCCTAACAACCAACACATTGAGATTTCAGGAATTTTAATTCCTATATATTTCCATGGTTAACCAACTCTCAAAACACAAAAGGACAGAGAGATACCAATAATTATATATTCTTCTCCCCCGCTTTTAGTTTTCAGAATTAAACTACGAATTCTGTCCATATGTGTACAATTTGTCAACAAATTTCTTTTCTTATATTCTTATTCTTATCAAATAAGTCACATATTACGTATGTATATCTTCAATATTTCATCACGTCAAGTTGTTGTAAACAAGCTACTAATTAACTAGTTTTTTGGTTAATTAACTCTAACAGACACCGCTCATCAAGCTAAATCACAAGATCACTTGAAATAGGCATCAGGATTTAAATTAGGATAACAATATCAAATATTACATATTCGACGGGGCAACGCTCTAAAATAGAAAGGCGATTAATCGACAAAATATTTGCAAAAAATAAAGAAAAACCACCTCCAAAGTTACAATAGCTTTTGTCACTTAAATCTTAATCATGTAAACACCTCTTTATTCTTTTGCAATTGTCAGACCGCTGCCATTTTTGTCCATCCGTGCCAGAAATTGCGTATGAATTTCGATCCAATATGTCCTCTTCCGTGGTCACCTAGTTTTCATAATTTTTCTTCTCAATAACAGAAATGAGACTCGTTCATTGGACCTAGCTATGTTCTTTATTTTTTACATGTACGACTTTTCCAAGAATTTCTTGACAGGAAAATGACCTTTTCTTCAACCTTTTTGATTCCCGTCCGGTTGCATTACATGTACAACCTAATAAAGTAGTAGGTTTTTTTTTTCACCAAAATAATTCAAGTAGAATTTTTTTAAAACGTTTTCCGTGGGGCTCTCGTTGCCTTTCTCACTCTGGTCTTCCTCAAAGGTGGTGGTCGCTGACCTTGGAGAGAAAAGTTGTTGGATTAAGATTTTTGGTCGGTAATATAGAATTAATGGCCCAAAATAAGTGACAAGTCATGGGCAAAGGTGGATAAAGCAAGGCTGGCTTGATTACCGCAGCGCAGGCAACGGTCTAGTGTTGGCGCCCATCCTTAAGTCTTAACATTCTAATTTAGACCACTTAAAATTTTTTCTAACTTGATTTTTTATTTTGTATTTATAATTCTTGTGAGTTAAAAAGTAGCTTCGACTTGGACTTCTCGGAGGAGGCTTTCGATCAGTTCTGACAGGAAATTTAAAATTTTCAACTAAAACATTGTCAAGAATAGGTTGAACTTTGCAAATAAGTTAACAACAATATCGATCCCACTTTGTTGTCTCGGTCCAGTGCGATGAGAAAAGAAAACAGTAAAAAGTTGCATTCCTACCTTTTTCTTTACGTTGAAATAACACACACATAGACACACCAAAAAAAAAAAAAATCCGAATGACATAAATCTTCGGGGGATTTTAATGATATTTAACCTGATTATATTTATGCCTAAACCCCTGTAATTAAGATTATTTTTTTTGTTTATTCCTTGTTTTCTTGTGCAAATCGAGCATATATTATATTTCTCATACAGCTAATGAGATGAAAAAGTTTAACATCACTAAAACAAGAAAATACCATGAAAGAGCAAAGTTATCAGTCTGCAACATATCAAGTGGATATCCTTATGGTAGTTTGTATCTTAAAGCAAAACCAAAGTCGCGATCAATATATTAAGAAGGAATAGGATTTTTGCTTAATCCAGAAAATTTAGCGGAAGTGCATAGCTGATTCACTACTGAAAGCCACAATACTTACACTACTGATGGAACACTTTTGAAACCATAAATATAATTAAAAGCAGAGTTTTTTTAAATTGCCATCACTCGTTTTACACTGCTTTACACCAAACACATGAGTTAGCCAGTTATCTACAGCATTATATATGTTGAAATTTTGAACGGTTAAACTTGAATTATATATAATGCCTTCTCCTTCTCGTGTAAGGGCATATCATTAATTAAAGAGTCACTCGATCGATCCAAAATAAAAACGAGAAATAACAAAGTGGTATACAAGTATTAATATGTGGGTATATATTCTTTTTGTATGTCGTGTGTAAGTTAGAGCAGAAGGCTGCCGAAAATCCACAATACTAGAGATCGTTGAAGTGTCCATGAGTTGGTAGGCCACGCATACCCCCTTAAACCACCGTACATGTGGAAGGGATTTTTACAGCACTACCACTTTCCGATGGTTATCATGGGGCCTAGAGAAAAACCTAAAGCCCAATCAATTTTCCAGTTCGATTTAGACTAAAATTTCATAACCCAAGTTCCATTGGAAATTGGAATAATTACTTAAACAATTTATCTGTATATATATATATATATATATATATATGTTTCTATAGTTAATAATATCAATTTATATTATCTGTTATACGTTTTTAATAATTTTATTTATTTATAAAGTTTGAGCATAATGGGGGCTAATGGGCATGGTTTTATTCAGTGATTTTTTTTTAATAGGAAGATTCAATAATTTTAAACCTAAACCTAATCTAAATTGAACTCGATTTTCTGGAACTCAGAAACGCATATGTACATGGCAAAAAATATTTTCACGGAATAACTTGGAAGAAAATGCTTCTTGAATCTTTTTAAAAGACCACGATCCCTTTGCAAACTGACCTTGCTAATTCTGTATCTTGCAAACCAATCAAATATTGGCTTTCACTTACGTTGTAATGCTGCTTTTTATTGAACATCTACACGAATTCAAATTAGAATACTTAAATGTATCCTTCGTAGTTTGGGTGGCACTTCCAGGCATACAATCTTTAACTCCCACAACTGTCAAATATAATATTTTAATTAATTAATTTATCAAGAATTCAGGATCACCTCCATTTTAAGGCTTCATTAGTCACCTAAATGGGCATTCTCATGTCACCCGTCAAGGAGAGGTGAAATCTCACGCTCAAAACTGGACTATGCAAGCCAACGTTTCACTTTGAACCGGACCAAGTCAAGTGTTGACTGCTGTCTGTAAGTTCATTTCTAGGTGAGGAATAACAGCAGATAGTGTTTGACCAACAATATTCATAATCGACAAATCATTGCCTAAGCAAATAACTTGCTTTATTTCGAGACTGAGATTCATCGCAGTTGAATGGCGATTTGGTAGAATAAAGCATAGTAATTTACTACACTAATAATAAGAATACTTCAACTGAGCCTGAAAATACCTTCAGCTGAATAAGGTGCACAAAAAACACATTCATTCAGTCAAAAAAAATCCATGCTTACAAAGAAAAAAGAAACCATAATGTTGAAATGGAGTCTCAGTTTTCATCTCATTATGCTGACAATCCCATTTCACAATCACTTTATTGAAACAGAAGACATCCAGAATAGCATCTGCACCAGCAACCCTTAATCAGATAATTTTCTTCAGACTGCAGCTTAACACTGTGCCAGTGATCACTGTAATGGAAAATAAGTCTTTTTCATGCCATATTGCATTCTTACAACATTAATACAACATGAATATAAATATTATCTAAGCAAAAGACTGAGAAGAGTACAGCAACAGACTATATGCAGATCTTAATTGGCAACAAACACATAAGAAGAGGGCAAAAGATATGACCATTAGCCAGCAAACTAAATGAATATTAGCATCCTCAGATCTCCTAACTGACAGAATAGGCAAACATAAAAATTAAGGAATAACTAGATATCTAATAATGCCTATGCAAGTCCTCAGTTTATCTCTTCTCTATTCTCGTTCATTTAATGATGATCTTTACACATATACATGCAAATGCCATCAATTACATGACCAGTATAACAGACCATAATGGCTTCACATTATATAAACTTAGAGCACAAAATAAATTCCCATATCTTAACATGACAACCCATACGAGTTTCACAATAAATTCCCATTATAGAAAAAGAAAATCAAGTTTTCTAGCATCAGGATTAAATCACAGCCCTTTTACTTGTGTTCAATTAACCTCTCTTAAATGCATAATTATATAAAAAGGAAACTAAACAAACCGTGTTAAGCAATCACTTAAAAAAAAAACACTACCTAATGCTTATCTCCATGGCCGTGAGAATGGTCATCATGGCCCTCCCAAGGGTGTCGCCAACCCTAAGAGACATAACAAAAGTCAGCTTGAGATCAAAAGCAAGTTACCGCAAATAAGGGCAGATTATGAAGAAAGTTGAAAAGAAGTACTTCTTACCAATACTACAGGACCATCTTGCTTAGCCCTGTACAAGACCCAAAACCTAAAAAACCAGATTTTGAGACACTTCAGAAAATCCACCAGCATTGCAGTATCTCTATATTAATATTTGCAAGAAATTTATCTAAATATTATCTATCAATCAGAAGGATGATATAGAAATGATACGTTCCAAGTAAAATCACAACTGACAACATACATGATCCTTAATGAAAACTTTTCCAGCCTAAACAGGCAAACAAGTTAAACCTAAGACACAAAACCCTCTGAGAATCAAATTAATTTCATCCAAAATTCACGCCTTTACTGTACAGTTTTTTCAGCTAAAGTAATTTCATCCAAAATTCAAGGCATACCCGTAACTTCTTCGGTTATGAAACTTGAAATTACACCCAATTCCAAAATGGCTTAGCTCAACATAATCATTCAATAAACTAAATCTAATAAAGCAAAGCTAGCAGATCGGGATTACAATTAAGCGTGTTTTGATACAATTAGACAATTTAAAACGGCAGATTGATGCAAAAGATGACACATCAAGATTCAGATTATTGACGCATAGTAAAGGAAAAAAGAAAGATTACCACATGACAGCGCACAAGCCCTTGCCGGTTACAACATGCCATCTCTTTGGGTGATGCAAAGTTACACCTTTGTAAGTTGTGCTGCCTCCATGACCTCCTCCCATCTCTCTTTCTTTGTGTGACCAAACCCTAAATCACCGAAATGGTCCAAATGCTCAAAGCTGAAAGTTCTGGCCCGAGTGGACTCAGTGGACTTGATCACTTGATTGCCGGTTGCTGCTTTGATTCCCAACCGTCGGATGCGTAATTGATCATCAACCACAACTGAAGGCCTGATTCTTATATGTGCTGGACCAGATAGATCCTGCAATGGTTTCCGATACTGGGCTTTGTGGCTTTATTTTCTTAAGTTCGACTAAACAAAATTATTGAAACCCAAGCCCAACAAAAATATAATTTATCCCGTCACTTGTTTTCTTCTAACGTTTTAACAAAAATCAAATTCAAAAACTTTTGTGCAATTCGTTTTTTGGAAAGCTGTTAGGCATGTCATAAACCATCAAGGCGTAACCGAAAAAAAGGTTAGAGACCTTCCTTTTCTTTACAGTATGTTTTGAATTGAGAGAAGAAAAAGGAAAAGAAAGTAAAATAAAAAAATATAAAAAAAATAAAACTCCTATTCTTTTGTTTGAATAAATTTTTAATTAAAAAAAAGTAAAAACCAAATAATTTTTTATTTTTTTTATAAATTTAATTTTTTAATACCCCAATTTAAAAGAAAGTTAAGAAAATAAAAGTTGAAAAATATTTTTTTATAAAAAAATTATTATGTCTATCTTTTTATTAATACTAAAAACCTAATAAAAAAACTTAAATAGATCACAATTATCTTGTACTTTTTTTAAAGTCATCTTTTTTAAGTTTCACATATCTCTTTTAATATAAAAATTTTTTATAATTTTTTGGTGATTTAATTTTAATGAATGACTGAATATGAATAGATATATTTTTTAGATTTATGAGATGATAAATTAGCTCAAAATCTATCAATGTATGTTTGTAAAATATTTTCTTGTTTCACTTTATTAAAAGCTATTGATATAGCAACAATTATAATATCAAACAAGATAGTAAACATATCATGATTTAAAAATGTTCTATAATCACAGGTAATGAAAAATTATAATTAAAAAAATTTATTATAATGAATCATTTTATTTATTTTTTATTTTTTATCAAAACAATGATTGTTAAAATTTTTTTTTATTAATTTTAATTATCCAAACAAAAGTTATATTTATCATTTTATTTCATTTTATTTTTTTATTAATATTTATTCAAACATAACGTTAAATAAATTTATAGATTAAAAAAATCTAAGTTTTTCTTACAAAATAGCAATCAATAAGTCAATAAATATTGTACATATTTAATTTATGCACGTGATAAAAGGTATATTATTATTCTTTTTTCTTTGAGTTGATAAATGGAAAAAGTTTTATGGGCAATAAGATGAAAATTCAAATTTATTAATCTAACAATCGCTTTTAAATTTCAATTCAATGCAGCAACCTAGCTTCAAAGTTCGAATTAGTCCCCTTGTTAGGCATTTTTGAACTTTTCTTCTGGTAGGGAGGGAGGAAGTGGGAGAGGTGGTTCAGCCTTTTAGGGTGATGGCTAGTGGACATTTGCTAGCGATTCGGCCGGTTTGCACAGATAGTAGTTACAAATTGATTGGATTTCTATTATTGGTAGGGAGTTATCCTTACAAACGCGAAAAATGGTATTTTAAATTATCGTATGGAACATGTTTGTAGTTATATTTAAGTTTGAAAATGCAAGCAATATCAGGCTGTCAATTTTGAAATTCAATTTTAGTACCATATAAATAGAATAAATTTTTTTTTTATGTCTTATTTGTTTATTCATCCGTTCACTTCCCAAAGTCTAACAACATGCACCTTATCAAAACATGAAGCAAGAAGTGTTCAGGTTACCAGTGCAGAAAAAGGTGCTGATTGTAATTTGAATCATTTGAATTTGATTTAAAAAAATATGGACAGGTTAATTCTAATTTTAATGTTTAATGTTAACAACATCTTGAACATAAAAAATTTAGTTACAAGCGATGTGAGGTTTGAGCTGTACAAGGACATTTTGAGCATGAACTGGGACGTAGGTTGATGTCTTTAATCTTTGTGCTCACTCCTTACCAACTGTGTCGGGGACTTGGGATTTTTATTTTGTACTTTGGTCACATCCTCTTATTCTCAGTAGTAACTATAACTCTAATTCCTTCCTTAAACTCAAATGCTAACTGCCTCAGCCAAGCAAAAATTAATACTAAAATTATCAATAAATAATTACTTCAATTAATTGAAATTTGTTGTTTTTTAATGAAAAATTTTAAAATTTAAATTCTGTTAATAATTATTTATTGAGATTATTTTAAATATATAATTTATAATTATTTATTTTAAATTATTATTATATATAACATATTTTTTATTCTAAAGATAGATAACTTATTTAACCCGCATTTTTCTTTAAAAAAAAAAAAAAAAAACACTAGTGCTAAAATTAACCGGTCAGAAAAAGTCGGAGTGGAGGATCATGACCACGTACAGTGCGATGTGACAAAAGCAGATAAATTCACACGTGCCCCAACAGTCAAACACGTTCCTAAATTATTCATTTGATCGTGCGGTCAAAACTTCGACTTCCCAAAATTTGTCCAATCAAACGATCTTAACCTTGCCACAAAAGGCTTCCGACCATGAACTGTTTCTTGGCGACATCCTCAGTCAAAAGTCAAACTAGCTCCACTCGCGGGCCTACAGTTCCCCTTCTTACAATATAAAAGGATTTTTTAGCCTTAAGCCACTGGCCACCTTGCGAGTTGTGAACTTAAGCCTTAATAATCCGCCAGAAAAATAAACCGATCTAAACAGTGTTGGAGCAGTCCAAAACCATGGCGCAAAATATCAACTTGACAATCGATCCAAGGAGTGGGTTTTGCAGATCCAATTCAACCTTCTACAGCAAACGCAACCCCATTCCTCTCCCCAGGAACGATTCCCTCGACGTTACCACTTTCATCTCGGCTCGGGCCCACCACGGTAAATTTGCCTTCATCGACGCCGGTACCGGCCGCCGTCTAACCTTCTCGGAACTATGGCGAGCTGTTGATTCCGTCGCCACGTGTCTTTCCGACATGGGAATCCGGAAAGGCCACGTTGTCCTGCTCCTTTCACCAAACTCCATCTTCTTCCCCATTGTTTGCCTCTCTGTTATGTCCCTCGGCGCTATCATAACCACCACTAACCCCCTCAACATGGCTGCTGAAATCGGAAAACAAATTGCAGATTCTAAGCCAGTTCTCGCCTTTACTATTCCTCAACTCCTTCCTAAACTAGCCGGGTCCACCATTCCTATCGTGCTTCTAGATGATAGTGTGAACAATAACGTTGGGGAGGCAAAGATTGTAACAACTTTAAATCAGATGATGAAGACGGAACCGAGTGGGAGTCGAGTCAGGGACCGAGTCAATCAGGATGACACGGCGACTCTGCTTTATTCATCTGGTACAACAGGTGCCAGCAAGGGAGTGGTTTCGTCTCATAGAAACCTGATTGCGATGGTACAAACGGTGCTAGGCAGATTCAGTCTAGAAGAAGGAGAGCAAAGGTTTATCTGTACGGTTCCCATGTTTCATATCTATGGCTTAGTCGCGTTTGCCACTGGGCTGCTGGCGTCAGGATCAACGGTCATAGTTTTATCAAAGTTCGAGATGCACGACATGCTATCAACGATCGAGAAGTACCGGGCCACCTACCTCCCTCTCGTGCCGCCGATACTCGTGGCAATGGTAAACGCCGCGGATCAGATACGGAAAAAGTATGATTTGAGTTCGTTGCATTCAGCGTTGTCAGGTGGGGCTCCGCTGAGTAAGGAAGTGATTGAGGGGTTTCTGGAAAAGTATCCGAATGTAAAAATTCTTCAGGGGTACGGTTTGACAGAGTCAACTGGGATTGGTGCGTCAACGGACTCTTTGGAGGAGAGTCGGAGGTATGGTACGGCGGGGATGTTGTCGCCGAGCATGGAGGCTAAGATTGTGGACCCGGATAGTGGTAAGGCTTTGATGGTGAATCAGACGGGTGAGCTTTGGCTTAGGGGTCCCTCCATTATGAAAGGTACTATACTAATTGTCTTTTAATGGTACTAAAAAAGAAAAAAAGGAAAATGTCCTATTTGCTTATTCCATGTTCTGGCTTTTTGTGTTTGGACTTAGGATGTTGGTATATATATATATATCTCTGGAATCTGAGCAGTAAGAATTAGAATAATGGATAAGAAGTCTTTGTGCATTTGTTTTTATATCCTGGCATGTTGAACGCGTTCTTTTCTTTATTATTAGATTAAATTATTTTTTAGGGTTGGCGACTGATTAATGGTGACCGTATTTTAAGAAATCTGGCTTAGAAATGCCAGCTCTAAGGAAGTTGTTTTGATTCTGCCTCCACCTCAAATTACATGGTACTAGTATTTTATTCCTTAACAAAGTATTCTTCTTTTAGGGATCCAAAATTTGTCCAGCCATTTTAACAGGGGTGAACTCTCTGTCTCTTTGATTTGATTCATTTCCTAATGCAGCTATTCAAGTTAATATAAGATTGTAGGATTAAAGAGTTTTCTTGTTATTGCTGTAGATACTGGCATTAAGTGTCATACATGTCACATAGAGCAAATTTTGGCTGAGGGAGGGGTTAGGCAGATGTCTGTTTTCTAGTATCCCTGCTATTACTGAATTAAATAAGTGTGACAGTAATATTATTGGCTGTACGGTCTATTTCTCTCTTGAGAGCCTATGCCTAAAACTTTGCAGAATTAATTGGCTATTAAAGTGATTGACAATGACACTTAGAGCATGAAGTAGAGCTTCTTAATTATGACATTTCCCTATGTTCCAATTTTTGGTATTCGTTGAATATGTTTCGTTTTCCTTGATGCTTAATTAATGACCTGCTATTTGTAGGCTATTTCAGTAATCCAGAAGCAACAATATCAACTCTTGATTCAGAGGGATGGCTGAAGACTGGAGATTTATGCTATATTGATGATGATGGCTTCATTTTTGTAGTTGACAGATTGAAGGAGCTGATCAAGTACAAGGGATATCAGGTGAATGAAACCCTGCCTCCTTCCCCAAAGTGGCCTTACTTTGTATTTAACTATGTAAAATTGAGGATTAAACTATCAAGTAAAAACAATGCATGGTTTTTAAACATTTATTTATAAAATTAATTCATAAATATACTCTCATAGTTTTGCGGTGATTTGGCAGGTTCCTCCTGCAGAACTTGAGGCATTGCTCCTTTCCCACCCTGAAATTTTAGATGCTGCTGTTATTCCGTAAGTTTTCCCTTTCATTGATATGTATGGCTTGAAATTTTGGTTCTTGTGCTGAGATTTCTTGCCTATTCTCTTACTTTCTTGATTGGAGCAATATATATCTAAACAATGTTGAGGGAGGCAAAAGAAAATTATGTGTATTTAATCTTTTCTTTTTTCTTCCAAAGGTAGGTGCATAATTTTACGCTTCTATACTTGTGTCTCAGGTTTCCTGATAAGGAGGTTGGGCAGTTTCCGATGGCATATGTGGTAAGAAAACCCGGAAGCAATTTATCAGAGACTGCAGTCATGGATTTTGTGGCTAGACAGGTATGTATAAAGTATTAACCAGAGAATGCGATTGAGTTAAACTCTCCAGAATTTGTTATTAGATGCTTTCATTGACAAAATTTTCAGCTGCTACATGACTTTAAGCTGCTAAATGCACAGGTCGCCCCATACAAAAGAATCCGGAAAGTAGCATTTGTAGCTTCAATTCCCAAGAATCCATCTGGCAAGATTCTTAGGAAGGATCTAATAAAGCTCGCAACCTCGAAACTCTGAACGGTTTTGGTTTAGGCTTGCCTCTGAACATAGTCAAAGAACAGTAGTATTATGGTTCTGTAAGCATTGTATTCAAATTCATAGCCAGTTTGGCATTTCTTCGCTTTGGTTATCAGAATTACTTTTAAGAAAATAAGAGCTATGGTTTTATTATGTTAATTTGGAACCTAGCTAATGAAAGTTAGAAATAAGGACAACAGATTTGGTACAAATTTTTGTGGTTCACGAGTGCAACAATTTTCACTTAAATAATACGCACGATAGGTAGGTGGGGCACTTAAATATAACTGCATTAATATGTAATAAAATTTTTGTGTAAATGGTTTGTTTATTCATCCAAAAGAATCAAAACAAGTCCGCAACAAGAAACAAGAGTATTGAGAGTTTACAGCAAATGAATCAACAAATGACAATTAAACTAACTGATGAGTACCCATGAACGACGAAGGCCGGGATTTGCAGAAACAGATTTTAGCAAGGACGAGTTGGCAATTTTCAGTGGAACATCTTTGATAAAAGCAACACTAGCAGCAGCAGCTCCATGATGAGAGCTCCCATATTTGCTATGATTTCGCTCTCTCCAGATAAAGTAAATGGAGGCTGTCCAAGCAAGCATGAGAATAATTATAGCCAGGGACTTGCCTTTCAGATTATTGCTGGCCAATTAAAGCTAAAATTGCCAGTCCCCCACAGTTCTAACAATGCCTGAGACTTGAAGAATATTCCCCCAAGCCTGTTGAGAAAAGGGGCACGAGAAAAATAAGTGATCTGGGGTCTCAGGAGCAAGACCACAGAACCAGCAATCTGTGGCAACAGAAGTAGAGTTAGCCATGTAGATATGCGCTGAAAAGTAGGCAGTCTATCCAGCATCCAGTAATTTTATGCTTTTGTCGTCCTTGATATAAACCCAAAGCACTACGTAATGGTAGGAACTAGTTGAAATTATCATCCTTCTAATTACTGCAATGCAGTAATTGGTAGTATTAAATCGCTACAGCTGTCCATGGATAAGCCGTCCTGTCTGTCTAGCTAAGTTTCATAACATAAAAATAAATGAGTAATATATATTATTTGATATATAATTTTTATATTTAAATAATTAAAGTTTTAGCCCTTCTATCCTAATTAATTAATTAAAATTTTTTTCAATATATAAAAGGGAAGTTTGGTTGTCCTATGGGGTGGGCTTACGTGGGTTGTTGAGTAAGCTCTGAAATTTTCTACTGACCTGATATGAGCCTGTCCGGGCCCAACAATAGGTTCCTCCGTTAATTACTACAACTATCAAATGAATAAAGATTCGGTATGATTCATGAATTGATACATATAATTATTCGATATTACACAGCAAAAATATCTGAAGAACGAAGCAACATACAGAAAAGAAAAAAAAAAAAACCAAGTACTAACAAATAAATATTTATACCCAAAGAAGATACTGCTAAAAGCCTGGAAATTCAAACGTGACTAAACGGTCGAAATCTTTGCAGAATTTGAAGTAAGATTCTGGCAAAATCTTTTGGAGAAATATGGAAATTTGATATTGCAAAAAAAAAAAATTCAATGGATTGCTTAATTTAATCCCATCGACATCTATCAATGTGGTACGAAATGTCCCCACTCTATTTTTAATAATTATTCAACTACATTCTTAGAAGGATTCTTCCTTAGCAGAGAACGAATGTAGTCCATCAATTCTTCCCCACATGGAAACTTGCAATGGCCCATGATTTGCTGTATCAAACTCCTCCTCCGCCATCTCCGATAGCACCCTGAAGATAGGGTGATTCAAATTGCATAAGGGCACGTCGACGAACCTTTTTCCTTCCCTGATGTAGACAGCAAAATGGCCTTTCTTCCTCTTTCTCCGTCCTTCTATGATCTCACTAAGCCTCATGGAAGAACCCTTCATTTTTTCTAACGGCCTTTTTTTCCGTTTTTTCCGTTGTTTTTGGTAGCTAATTTTGGAAAGAGTTTTATAGATTGAATAATTCATAATGATGGGCTTCCATTCGGTCTTTAATCTAGCTCAGAATTTAGAAAGTTACATCTATCTACCCTTCAATATACTATATATATATATATATATATATATATATATATCCACATATGTATTACACTTTTAGTTTGAGTCAATTTCCCATCTGTATATGATTAATGATCAAAGTTAATAAACAGAACTATAGAATTTGAATAATGAAGAGAATTATTTCTCACTTTCATAAATTAGTGCTAGTCATGGAATATATATTAGAGTAGTGTCTATCTTCCAAAGTTTCTTTTTTTTTTTTTTTTATTAAACTTAAGTAGTAATACTCATAAATACATTCCTCAATATTAGAGTAGTGTCTATCTTCCAAAGTTTCTTTTTTTTTTATTATTATTAAACTTAAGTAGTAATACTCATAAATACATTCCTCAATTAACTCCATCAGATAAACTAGTAATAATACTCATAAAATATTTTCGATGGCCCTTTTTGTCTGAATAATTAATGTCTTTTACTGATTTTATTATTACATGGATATACATTAGGAAATAAAAAATTGGGAAAACGATTGCCACTTTAAGTCATTTGTTGGTATTGTAAGAGGTATGAATGTAAATTATACATTAATACTTATAAGTTATTTGGATTCGATAAGAATAAAATTCAAATTCGACTCAATTATTATCGTATCGAGTTTGAATTCGAATAGCTCAACTTATCGATCGAGCTGAATTTGAATATTTTTATACTTTATTCAAGTAACTTATGAGCCTAATCGAATTTTTATATTTTAATATATTTTAATTAATAAAATATATTGAATTCGAACTTGAGTTCGAGCACAAATAATCGAACTTTTGTCAAATATAAAAATCAAGTTTATTTTTACATACTAATAGAGTCTAATTGATTGAGCTCGAATCACTCTATTTCTATTTTGAGTTGAGTTCGAGCTTAAAAAATAAAACATCGAGTTTGAGTCGAATTTTGAATCTAAAATTTTTAATTGAGTTCGAGCTTGAACTTAATACTGTATCACTCGAATTCGATCAATTATACTCCTAATAAAGAGTGATACAAAATGCTTGGTAAAAGGAAACATAGCACTTTTCTTTCACAAAATCAAGAAATTATGCATTGATTATTATATCACAGTTAAGTTAAAGAAAGATAATGTTCCCAATATTAAATCTCATAGTTTAAACCAATTTGGTAGTAACTTTTATGCTTTTCAATTAAAAAATAGTCCGTGGAAACAAATTTTCTTTAGATGAATTCAACAGAAAAAGTTAAAAGAATGCAAGGAGCAGCCAAAGGCTTTTTTATTGATGTGAAAATAAATTGTTGGTGTCGAGCTTAACTTGAGGTTATTTTATGAATGCAAAAAAAAAAAAAAAATGATTAGAGGTAAAGACAGAAAATGTTTCTTACATTTACATTTCGATGTGTAAATCAATAAAAAATAAATCGAAAAGAAAATAAGAAAAAAATAAAAAAGTTGTTTTATAGTATCTAAGTTTTTATATTTATAAGTAAATTGAAAAGGATTATAAAGAGACAATTAAGATAAGATCAAATTGAGATAACATTGATCATATCAAGTCAGGTCGATATAAATGACAAAAATATTTTTAATTATTTATTGAAAACTTTGAAAGAAAAAAAGACTACTATATAATTTTGACCATCAAATGTTTCATAACAGAAACCATCTAAGATAACTACATGAAAAGAGGTGAAAATTGCACATTTGATGATTGCAAGGTGTGAAAGTAAAGAAATTAAAAATTAGTTTTCACAAATAGATTGTAGAGGGACGTAGGTTAATTTTGATATATATATATATATATATATATATATAAACAATGAACATATATAGATTGTAAATTACAAGGCTAGCTACCATGTCCATACCCTTAACCCTAACTCACGTTGTTCTTTTCTTCAAATCCTACCTTTAACGAAGATGATATATATATATATATATATATATATATATATATATAAACAATGAACATATATAGATTGTAAATTATAAGGCTAGCTACCATGTCCATACCCTTAACCCTAACTCACGTTGTTCTTTTCTTCAAATCCTACCTTTAACGAAGATGATATTTTATGAGTAAAGATTGAAAAAATTACTCTTAATTATTATATGTGCCTTATCCTTTGATATTAAAAAAAAAAAAACAACAACAACAACCAATGATAAAAAAAAATCCATTATCGCCATCCACAACTTTAGAATCATTGATACAAAAAGGTATGAATCTACCATAATCCACTTCATCAAATTAAAGAGAAGTTAACAAAGTAGAGAAAATAAAACAGGAGATGCTTCACAAAGGAAGGAAAAAAAGAAAGCTACAAATCAACTTTCGCAAAGGAAATGGCACAGAAAATTTGTGGTTCTCTTTAATGCCACTAACCAATTAAGTGCAAAAATGATTTTCCTGAACTTCATGGAAAGTGCCCCCATTGTTTCTAGTTCTTATTTTTGTAGCTAGCCCCGGGGCCACGAACCACATGAACGACACGTATTACGATTTACCCTAACCATTCAATTATAATCTCTCCTTTGATTAATCTATTCATGTTATAGGAAACTGACGTCGCATGCTTATGTCATCAGAGACACCACCAGACAAGGCAGAGTAAAAAATTCTTCAATCAAAAGCCATTTGAACAGGAAAAAGAAAATGAGGAAGAAGACTCAAGGATCGAAAGTAGACTAATGGAGATATAAACTTTTAAAACTGCTTAAAAATTGTCGGCATCTCAACTTTATTCTCCTGTTGGTTTAAATGATTCTAATCAAACCCATTAATCAACATAATTCAAACACTGATTTCGTATGATTTTACGGTTAAAAGTAAAGTAGGATTTGAGTTGTAATTTGACCATAATAAAGACTGTAATGGTGGTAATCAGCACAAAGAAATTTCATTCAGGAAAAGAATATGAAATATTCCACTTCGCTTTCTTAAATTGTGATCAGAATTAGCTCTATAGATTGATGTAACTCAAGCAGAAAATTGAAATTATGATAGAACGACGCAGATGTCATGTGGGTGACATGGGCATGGTGGATGTGGGATTAAGGTCCCAAAACAGACAGGAATAAGTGTCGTAACACTAAATGGTTTGGTTATCTTTTGACGAAAACAACAGCTGCAGCCAATTGGGGTCAGTCAAAGCTTCCACTTTATCAAAACTCTCCACTATTAACCCTAGTTGGGTTCCATATTTTAACCGACTCAGCATCCACAACCAACCACAACCACAACCAACACCACGACAACTATACTTTAAAAGCATGTTGCACCAAAACAACAATTATTTCAGTGCAAATCCAAAACAGAGATGAGAGCCTCTCCTTCAATGTTCACATATATATATATATATATTTATTTATTTATAGGAACAAACCCTTCTGTGGAGAGAGCTCACCGAGCCCCTCATCAAACTTTGTTTGATCACTTACCATCTTACAAATTAAGTATATAATCCTTGAAGAAGGGAGGAGAAAGGGAGAGAGAGCATAACACTATCTTTAGTGATGGGTGAGCTGGTGGAAGTACACTCGAGCCCAGCCACAAGGAGGCCGGGGTTGGAAACATTGGTCATCGCAGGGCCTCCACTTCAACTTAATTGCCCATCAATGACTCCGTCACCACTGCTTGATTCGGTCCCCCAAACCCCCAAGAGCCCCTTTGTTACACGTTTGATGACTCCTGTAGCTAGCCCTATGAAAAAGGCAATTGTAAGCATGCAAGGTTACCTGGAAGAAGTTGGCCACTTCACCAAGCTTGACCCACAGGAAACTTGGCTTCCCATTACTGAGTCCCGAAATGGTAATGCATACTACTCAGCATTTCATACATTGAGTTCAGGAATAGGATTTCAAGCGCTTGTTCTTCCTCTAGCTTTTACCACTCTTGGTTGGTAAGTTGCCAAACTCTATTCTTCTTAAAACAAAATGGAGATAAAGCACTCAAACTGGCCAATTTAAATGAATTTCACTTGCGAGGATTCAAGTGAAAATTATTAACTAAACAACATAAGCAACTTAATTATTGCAGGGTCTGGGGAATTATATGTCTATCACTGGCTTTTATTTGGCAGTTATACACACTATGGTTACTGGTTCAGCTGCATGAATCAGAATCTGGGAAGCGTTACAGCCGATACCTCCGACTTTCCATGGCAGCTTTTGGTAAGAGCGCTAAGAATCATGTAAAGGTTGAGGGATAAAGGCAGCTATAGAATTTAGGGGAATTTGACTCGATGTGAGCTTAACAACTTCATTTTTTTCAGACCCTCATTTCAATTCTATGACTTCGGTATGTAATAGATGGAGTCGTCAGGGTTAATCAAGATCAAAATAGTAGCACTTGCACATATAGTCCCCACTCTATAATATGTGACTTTTATTCTTTTCAAATCAAATTTATTATTTTATGTCTACTGTTTTGGAAAGATGAAAACATTTATATGTTAGGACAAATGATTTATTTCTATCATATCGTATTTCTGTTTACTTTTGCTCGCTTCACATATCATTTCATGTTTCTGTTTACTTTTGCTCGCTTCACATAATTTAGAAAACTTTAAGAATTGAAACGTAACAGTGGAAAAGTCTAATAAGGAAGTAAATGGAAATCTTTATCTTTTACTCTTCCTTCCCGCCGAACAAGTTTAGTCTAAATCTAATGAAATGTGTTGTTTGATCTGATTGAAGACTTTAGTACAAGTTAAAATCCCAACGTTAAACTCTAATCAAATCTTTTTCCACATGCGATGATTTGACAAATTAATTATCAAAGTGTCTTGCTTTTATACACAAGCATCGACCACTGCATGGGAATCAATATCCTTTCTTTTGAAAACTCAACTTTGATTCTTGGATTAATTATGAAAGCAACATGAATGTTTTCAGGAGAAAAACTTGGGAAACTGCTGGCTCTTTTCCCTATCATGTATCTATCAGGAGGTACCTGCGTGACCTTGATCATGATCGGAGGTGGGACCATGAAGATATTCTTCCAGATCGTGTGTGGGAACACATGCAGTTTAAAACCGCTCTCTGTTGTAGAGTGGTACGTGGTGTTCACTTGCTTAGCCATTATTCTGGCTCAACTTCCCAACTTGAACTCCATTGCTGGAGTCTCCCTAGTCGGGGCAATAACGGCAATCAGCTATTGCAGTTTGATATGGATTGTCTCTATTATTCATGGCACGCCAGAGGGCGTGTCCTATGACCCACCTGAGGCAAAATCGGAAATGGCCAGGCTTTTCAATATTTTTAACTCACTTGGGATAATCACCTTTGCTTTTAGAGGCCACAATCTCGTGCTGGAAATACAGGCAAGGCAATCAGATTTCAGATGAATTTATACTCTTCCTGTTCCTTGTTTGTAATCCGTATATATATGTTTTCTAATCTTTGATTGTTCTCTGTCTCGCTCGCAGGGGACAATACCTTCCAGCGGAAAGCACCCTTCCCGCCTACCAATGTGGAGAGGAGTGAAGTTCGCTTACTTGATTGTTGCAACCTGCTTGTTTCCCCTTGCAATCGGTGGCTATTGGGTTTATGGAAACTTGGTAAGATATATATATATATATATATATATATATTATATATATATATATTGCCCTCCTTCGCTATATAAATAAAGTTAGGCCACGCCCATAAACTCCTTGTTTCTAATACATATATTGGTATTATTCCCCAGATGGCTGAAAATGGAGAGATGCTAAGTGCTTTGTACAAATACCATAAACGCGACACATCAAAGTTGCTTCTAGGGCTAGCAAGCCTACTCGTAGTAATTAACAGCCTCACCTCATTCCAAATATATGCTATGCCCGTATTCGACAATTTGGAGTTTAGATATACAAGCAAGTGGAAAAGGCCATGTCCACAGTGGCTGCGCACAGGTATTAGAGTTTTCTTCGGAAGCTTGGCATTCTTTATTTCGGTGGCACTACCATTCTTGCCAAGCTTGGCAGGGTTGATTGGAGGGATCGCATTACCGATCACCTTGGCATATCCCTGTCTTATGTGGGTGATAATCAAGAAACCTCAGAAATTTAGTCTGAATTGGTGCCTTAACTGCTTATTAGGAGTTTTAGGAATGGTCCTCAGTGTCTTGGTGACCACTGGAGCAATATGGGGCATAGTGACCAAGGGGATAAAAATTCACTTCTTTAAACCCCAATGAGCTAGCAATGGCTGCATGATCATAGATCTTGTAATCAAAGCTAACCTAGAAGCCTTGGATCTCCTAAACCAAATACCCACCCAGTGAAGGAAGCAACAATGTCAAACATGAGCAACTTCTTTGAATGATCTTATAATCCCTGTGCAACTGGCTTGAGTTTTGACTGATAAATATACATATCAAACTTCCTGTATTATATTAATATATATGAAATCACCTTATTAACATGCCTGTTTGCCGTAACTTAGTAGCATAATTTTTATCTTCAGTTAATTTGTGAAAATCTATCGCGAAACAACCAAAGAAGCCAAAATTTGCAAGAATTTAACTCCTCTATCAACAAGGAAAGTTTAAATCGTGTATAGTATTGATCTGTTGCAAATCAACTGTGTGGGTACATCATACAAGCAAAAATGTTTCAATCACTCACAGCTTCCATTTCTATCCTCTGATGTCTTTTAAACTACAACCAAATCCAAACAAATTACAAAATAAAGCAAATATTGCGCACTACATTCCCACCTGGATTAGAATTACAATATAGTTTCTCATAGCCTTGAAACTAACTGCTGCAAATTCAATTAGAACATCCCAACTTTCCATCTCAAATCATTAGACTTGCCATGGTTCACCGAGTTTTGAGGTGATTGTATCAAATCATATACCTTCATCAGCTTGCTTCAGCCACAATCACATATTTCAATAGACCAGAGCAAGCATGGGTCAAATGCAATGATCAATAAATTTCTAATTTACATGAAAAAGTTGGTGCCTTTTAAGCAAATTCAAGATTCATGTAGTTCTACATAGATAATGGAAGAAGCATCCTTCTTTTCTTTTTCCTAGCCAATCTCACTTGCTTTGTGATTTTCATGCAGAGAAGCAACACCATTGTGATGCATACCAGGATAAAGGCAAGTTGCATATGCCTCAAATATAAAGAAACAGCTGAAAAAACCAGGAATGCTAAAATAACGAGTTCCCATATAACAAAAACCACAACATCCACCCTGCACCCACAAAACAGTAAAGAAAGCACAGCTATTAGAATTGGATAGCACAATGAAGATTAAATGAATGGATCCAAATAAAACTACAGGTATTCTAGATGTTATTTTCGCTAATCTATTTTCCCCAACAAAAAATTGGAATCTCCAGCCTTCTATAATTTGTTAATCTAAATCATAACCTTACAAACATGTCAAAACTTGTTGGAAGTAGGAGAAAGTACATACATATCAAAGCGACAAATATTTTCCATGCATAGGTAACACAAAAATCTCAAATGCACAAACGTTGCAAAGCAGAGATCCAACACCAACATATTATTATTTTCAACTTCTGGCACCAAGACTTCTTGATCTCAACTTGCATCTGAATGATAAGGACTCCTAGTCTAAGCCCCACAATATGAGCACATCCGAACAATACTATAAAGCACCAATTCCCAGCAGATTGACAAGCATTCCTCAATTGCAGATACTTCATAAAAGCTATGGAAAAACTTTGAGATACACACGATATACAATCATAACCGCTGAGCGAATGGCAAGATCTAAGCACACAAGTATACTCCTACCATACAGTTAGTTTACACAACAACCACCCAATTCAGTCATTTGAAAATATAAAATATGGAAAACCGTATGAGTAAAAAAGCAAGATAATGGCAGTATAACAAGTATTTACAATAAGCTTAAATTGTTGGTACAGCATTAACCAAAAGTCATACTCATCTCCACCACAAACTCCCACAAATCAACTACATGAAACGACCACTGGAGGAAATTTTTAATTCTACCCCCACCCCCAAGCATCAGGCTTCTTTCAACAGCCAATTTCTACTTCAGATGAAAATTAATATGAATCAACAATTTCAACATTCTCTTTCCTTTTTAAGGTCTAATGCGCATCATAAGAACTCAATGGTAGTTTTTAAAAAATCCAGAGTAAGTTTCGCTCTCTTTGACCACCTAAAATTTCAATATATTTTCAAAACGATAATTTAATGACTACAAGAATCTTTCAAGCTTTTTTTTCCCGAATTCGTAATAAATGTATCAATAAAATGAAAAATGAAATCTATAAAGAAACGAAATTTTCAAAGGAAATAAAAAAAAAAAATCATACTCGAGAAGCTACAGCTGATCCTTTTACCTAACTATCCTATAAAAGCCTAGATTCTCTAGGTAAACCGGCAACGCTTCGACCGAAGCTCAAATGAATAACATTTCATAACCAGCACGTTAAGAACGAAGATTTTATAGTCGAATCAAAACCAGGAAAAAAATCATAAATTTTCAAACTTAAATTCGAAAAAGGAAAATAATGAAAAAGCATAATTAAAAAGTAAATAATGGAATTGGGTTTACCTAGAAGACGTGAGATTAGACGTCGATGAGAAAAACGAAACGGAGGCCCAATCGTGCTTAGATCGAATCTGATACTCTCTCAACTGCTCTGCTAAATTCGATCGCGTTATCATGGCTTCCCTTCTCCTTTCCCTGCCTTTCGGCTTTATGCTTTGTTTCGCTTTGCAGCTAAAAAATGGTTAAAAATAGAGAAATTGCAGAGAAAGATACGAATTGGAGCTAGAAGAAAGGGAAGGGAAAGCATCAATGTTCGATTCAATTTTCTGTCTTTTTTTTTTATTCGCCTTCTTTTTCCTCTCCTTTCCAGCAGAAAATGAAAATGCTAACGAATTTTCTTTTCGGTCACCTATAGTGATTCAAATTAAGAAAAAAAAAACCTGAATGGGCTAGAATATTTGATATGGGCCAGACATTGCGAATGAAGGGGATTTTTTAAAGAAATTTGAAGCTTGCTTATCAATATTTCGTTTTATTTGATGTAACTGGAACATTTTAAATTTACTTTTTATGATACACGACTCTGTTTGTGAATTAAAAAATGATTAATTTTGAAATTTCTATTTACTAATTTATATTTTCATTTTAAAAGTATGAATATGGTGTGCATATTGTTTTTGTTTTTAATTACGTACTATTTTTTTTTTAAAAGAAACATATTAATAATGTTTGACTCCAAATAACTGATAGTATGATTTAATTGGATTAAACTAAAGCATTTTGTAATAATTAGTTTATTTTAAAATAACAGATCACATTGTGTGTTCTTTTAAATTAAATAAACATATCATAATATATTTATATAATTTATAAATTTTTTTAGTATTTGGCATTCTCTGATTAAGGGAAATGCCTGCATCTGAGCATCTCCCTCGGACCAGTAGCCATTAGTTAATAAAATTCACTAGGAATGGGCTAGAGTTGGCTCCCATATTAACCCAACAATATAGATAGGCCCACATCTACTAGTTTTCTTAGGGCTAATGAACAGAATATTCCTTCAAACACCATTCTTTGCACTTAAAAGGCCTAAACCAAACTCTGGATAATAAGACCCAAGTGATTTCACTGTAGAATACTTACGTTTTGCTTACGAACGAAAATTTTATATTTATATATATATATATATATTTTACTTGTAGCTTAATTATTGAATTATTATTATTATTATTTTTTAATCATTTTCATCCTTATCAAACAACGCAAATGAAATGGCAACGGAGCAAGAAGGGTGATTCCCGTTTGATGTACGGTTTTTTTGGTCATTTGCAGCAATATGTTTTCCCAACGAATTCTTTTGATGGGCCGGAGTATTATACTAGAGAGTCAATTGTATCACGCATCAAAGCACCAAAACTCGTCAGACTAATGCTAATACTTTGCTTAAGCTTTACAAAAAGTAGGAAGGGTCTGTTGAAATTAGAAATTAACTGGTTGAAGTTAGTACAAGCAATTACAAAAGCATTGTGCCCAAACTGTTATAATTTCAGATCAAGACTTGGGCGTTCTAAAATATATTATCTCATAATGTTTCAATTTTCAAATTTTGTCGCATTTCATCTTCCTTATCCAAAAAAAACTATCATCGACATATCATAATCTTAATTAATATTATTAAGCCATATGTCATTTTCATATAGAAAAGTATGTCAAATTGCAAGTCGGCATGATCAAAATACTACTACATTATTATATTGGGTTAAGTGGGCAAAATCCCAAACCGCCCACTTGTTCGAGGGACTCCCCCCAACCCCAAGTAATCTATCTATGGAAAGCGACGACATCAAAGTAAATAAATTTTGGGAATTAAAGTGAGATTAACTTACAACGGAGCCCACCATCATAAGCCAGCCTCCTTCTTCACGACGTAACTGATAAGTGGCCCAACATCCTTTTTGTCTGGGCCACTACACCGACGCTTCCGGGTCCCGCCAGGAGCAACCTTCCACGTTCTTCTTCCACGTGTCACGATTCGAATGGTCACATGCTCGCATGACCAGTACTATATAGTTTCTCTTTCGCTTTTTTTTTTTTCTACTCTCTTCTTTTCTGCCTTTTGACTATTACTTTCCACCAGCGCTAGGTGCTAGCTTATGAAGCACGCCTACACTCGCTTTATTAGTTGGCACATATGCTCAAGGGACAGATGTCAAGTAGATAAAGCGATTACACTACAATTAATTAGTCTGAGAGAGTATGTTGTTTAGACATCTTTTCCTTAGTTTACTGCATACATCGGTTACAGGAATGGCGCTCGATTGGCTAGCCCATTTAGCTTCCGTTAATTTTTCTTTCTTTTATTAATCGCGTCAGATCCGCGTTGCGAAAGATGCTTCGGATGCTATAAAACCCCACTGACTCGTTTTTCAAAACCCATCAATCTGTAGCCAACTCTGTACAAGTGAAGTGATCCGCAACGGTTTCATTCGGTTTGCGTTTTTGTTCGAATACACTAGGTCATATTTATTTTAGTGCCAGTGGTTTGAAAATGGCCGAGAAGCATACCAACAAGGCCGCTGAGTGCGAGAGCAACATTGGTGGTGAGGGAACAGTAGAGGCCAAGGACCGAGGGTTGTTCGATTTCTTGGGGAAGAAAGAGGAGGAGAAGCCTCAAGAGGAGGTGATTGCCACTCAGTTTGAGTCGAAGATTAAGATAGAAGAGACAAAGGTAGAGGAGGAGCGCAAGGAAGAGGGAGAGGAGAAAAAGCACACTATCCTGGAGAAGCTTCGCCGTTCGGATAGCAGCTCCAGCTCTGTAAGTACTTTGACCTTCTTTTATGTTGTTAATGGTAACTTAGAACTAAAAACAGTACCATTTTTGTCGTATACGTTACCATATGTAATTAGCATCCTTGGATCATGTCATGATGAGATTTGTTGAGACTTATATCGGAACATGCAAAATGTTTTCTGAATGTGCAGTCTAGCGATGAGGAAGAAGGTGAAACAAAAGAGAAGAAGAAGAAAAAGGAGAAGAAGGGACTGAAGGACAAGATCGAGGAGAAGTTAGGAGGAGAAAAGAAAGAGGAGGAGATTAAGCACGAGGACACTACAGTCCCAGTGGAAAAGTGCGATGAACCAGTAATCTACTCAGAGGCGCCAGAAAAGAAAGGTTTCCTTGAGAAGATCAAAGAGAAATTCCCTGGACAACACAAAAAAGTTGAAGAGGTTTCCCTACCTCCACCACCTGCTGACTGCGTTGCCTCTGAACACCATGAAGGTGAGACAAAGGAAAATAAGGGAATTTTGGAGAAAATCAAGGAGAAGCTTCCTGGTTACCATTCCAAAACAGAGGAAGAGAAATATAAAGGAAAGGAGAGTGCTTCCCATTAAGAACCATTATGTTTTCAAATAAAAATGCACTGATGGGTTGCGCGTGGTTTATTAATTTGTTGAAATTGTCTGTTCCTTTTTTCTTGCTTTAATTATAAGTTTGGCAATATATATATATATATATATATATATATATATACATAAAAGTTGTTCATCTATGGTTTTCAATTTTATAACTACATAGTATGATAAAAGGATATGTTTTTTCGTTCACTTTTTTTTTTTATTGAGATTTGAACAGTATTTAATGGATTTATACATATATATATATATATATTTGTATGTTTTGTCTTCGTTATCATTTCTTGTCCTTGCACTCGTATCCTTCCTAAAAAAAATAATACAACCAAAAACATTAATATTCCAAGGAACAAAGTTAGTGGAAAATTTTAGAGGAATATTTGAGGGGGGAAGTATCATCTTAATTTGGTGTAAATAGTAATTAAAGGGCAAAACAAATCATGACTTATCCACCAAGAAAGAAATACTAAAAGGTCGCTTAAGTCATCACCTCCTCTCATTATTGGACCAACCTAATTATTCCGTTACAAAATCAATGTAGTTGAATAGTTGAAATATTTTAGCTTCAATTTTACACTGTTCATTATGTGGTTTCTTTTTCTAATGGATGAATTCATAGATCCAAATCGAATATGTATAAACTCTAAAGACATTAGTTTTGTAGAAAAGCCAGTGGTACATTTCGCTTTTTAGGTTGAAATGTTAGTTGCTAAAAGAGGTTTTTTCTTGCTTTTAAATTAAACAATTCTCAATTATTAAAAATAGTGTTTTTAAGTTGTTAATTTTTATCAAGAATTTGTATTTTTTTTTAAATAACGTTTTTATCAATTACTCAAATAAGCCAGTCTCAGATAATCCTTTTGTTATGACTTTCTATCAATCCTATATGTTTCAATCTAAACAAAATATTCTAACTTTTCGTTCAATGAATGTGATTTCACTAAATTAATTAATTGTGTGTTCATAAGCAAATTTTACATCCAAAATGATGATTAGTTTCCCATCCCATCCCCTATATAAATATATAAAAGGGTTATGAATGAATTACAACCTCCGGTTCCGGGTTAATTTTCTTTCTTTTTGGGCTCATACTCTGAATCCATGCATAAATTTAGGCTTCCGGGAGCTCGTTTGATACGCTCTTCAGTTTTTTTTTTTTTTTTAAATAGTTTCGTTTTTCTGAATAATCTGAAGTTCTTTCGTTAATCTTCAACTAGTGTGTTGCCCAAATTATTTAGTAAAACTATTATATTTATTAAAATTAATAATATATTAAGAATAAACACATTAAATGAGTGGAAAAAAGGAAGAAGAAAAGCATAGCTAACAAGAGGAATTCTCAGTTTCTTGGGTAATGGATTTTCGGTCTTGGGCTTAACCGTAGAAATTGGAATAAATGACCTATTTGGGCCTTCTGCAAATTAATTTGGGTCAAAATCAAAACATACGACCCACTTTTCCTTTTTTTTTTTTTTCACTAGCCAATCTTTATAATCAAACTAGGTCGGTTTAGTTAAAGATTTTTATTCTTGTATGCTTCCAGAATCTTCGTTCATTCCCAAGTTTCAATTATACGATGGTGATGAGGGATGAGTAATCTCTCTCCAATTGGACTACTGAACCCACTGTCTAGTAAGTTTCCTGTTAAAAAAACATATCTTTATTATGTGCACTTCCGTTCAGAGAATGGGCTGAAATTTTAAGGGTTTATTTTTTGGACTTTTGATCTTTGCGTTAATAATATTTTAGAATCTTTCCTGACTCAGCTCTCTTGTTTTTTATATTTCCGCGAGGAGGAATAGCTGGTTATTTACGCTTTCTTAATTGCCATCCCCATCAAGAGAAGGAGTCAGGACTTCGTGGATGGTGTTTTGGTTGTTCAAGATAATGAAGAGATACCATGTTTCGTTTTGTATATGTTGGTTATGATTGTAGAAAAGGGATGATGAATTTAATCTGTTTAGGTACTAATTTAGGCTATGCATCTAAAGAACATTGAAATGTGGAACTGGTAATGATGTATTTGTACTTGATGGAATTATCAGAAGAAATGAAATCGAAACAGCAATTTGGTGACTGTGATATGGTGGGAGGAAGAAAATAAGGATTATAGCCTTCCACACCGTTTGCTGCAGCGGAGTTGACTTGCACTTATGTGAGCTTCGAAATCTGCATGTGTCAATGTTATGGCTTATCGCAATATTTTTTTTATTCTGCACAGCTAACATTATTCTGCCTGTGTGGTATGAACGTAACATGCCCGCTAATTGCGGGTTGAGCGGTCGTACCAACCAGCCTAATTTCCTAATCAGACCTGAGCTAATATATAATTGAATTTGTCATATTATCCAGGTTGCTTTTGAAAATTCAATACGAAGAGCGTAAACTGTGCATTATGTTAAGAGGTACTGTTGGATTTGCCGTGTCATAGGTGATATCCATCCAAGGTTTTCTCATTTGAGTTTGAGGCAATCATGCCAGACTTTGCAGTGATGGCACACTATTGTGAGACTGACCTTTCGGATGTGGGGACATTGTCTTGGAAATTCATGACCATTGTTTAAAAATAAAAAATAAAAATAAAAATCATGGTAAAATCGTCGAAAAGCTGCTAATTTCAAACTCTTCTACTCTCTTATGCTGCTATTAAATTCCAAATTGCTCTGATTGCAGCCTTCTTAGCATGACATGGCACTTTAATTAAGTTTTCATTTGGAAAATGAAGACATTGAGGCTCCAGTATGGTTTGTTATGATATTCTTATAAATTTCCAGGCAGGATTTGAAAAAGAGAAACAAAATTAATTGCGTGCCTTCAGTATTCCAACAAAATTAATAGTATAATATTCAAAAGGTTTTAATGGCAATGGACACTGAATGGCCGATGGCGTCAGCGCTTGCTCATGGGAAAATCCAACAGTCAACATCGGTCGAAGAAACAATACTGTCACAAGGGCGAAATTAACGTGCCCTACCGAGTTAATTTTACTGTATTTTCTGTTACATTTATGGTTAAATGTCACTAGCTAGTGTTGATTACGTGATATAATTATAGAAAACAAGGGTAGCCCTTCTGGAAAGAATAACTTTCTGTAAATATATACATTAGATTCTATACTTAGCTGTTTAACAAAAAGAAAAATTGCACTTTTACTACTATTAACAGGCCGATTTGAAGCCTAAGTTTCTATACTCAATGAGCTATTTGTTGCGTCTGAAGTAATAATCATAATAATATAAAAGTAATAAATAACAATCAATAATAAAAAAAATAAAAAAAATAAAATATACAAAGATTTACGTGAAAAATCTTTCAGTGTAGAAGGCAAAAAAACTATGGATCACCAAAAAAATTTTCACTATCAAATAATAGATATACAAAGTTCTTCTCTAACTAAAACTAGAGCTAATCAACAATTAGAGAAATAATTAGAGAAATCTCATCAAATAAGTGACTCAACAAATACACTATGAATTTGTTTCTAGAAAGCTTCAAACCCGATCTTCATCGTTAAAATGTAGAACTCTGAATCATAAATCTCCTGACAAGATTTCAACTCAATCGGACCACGGATCAACTTTCGTTCAACCAACTCTCCCTTCTCATTTTTCTCTCTACTTTTTTTGACTTTTCTTGTTTCTCTACTTGATTTTCGACACACACATAAAACAACCACACCTCTTTTTTTATTAAGTAGCTAGAGCTCTGTGTAAAATGAAATATCAAGGCCCATGGCCTTTACTTGGTCCAAAATCACTTACATGAGGCTGGACCTCATTTTCCTAACAATCTCCCCCTCCAGCCCCATTAGGAGGAGATTCATCATCATAACAGTTTCATTTGGAACTTACCTTTGCCAGGGAATTCATTCCGGCCAAGTTACTGCAAAGCTCAAGCTTTTCTCTGGGAAGTATCGTAGTCAACATATCTGTTACATTCTTATTAGTATGGATTTTTTTCAATAGCATATGTTGTTCTTCAATCACTGAACGTAACTAATGATATCTAACATCAATGTGCTTTGTTTTAGCATGATACATGGTATTCTTACTCAAATTTAAAGCACTTTGACTATCACAAAATATCATATACTCTTTTTGATTCAACTCCAATTCAAGAAAAAAATGTTTCATCCAAAGCATTTTTTTACATGCTTCAGTTGCTGTAATATACTCAGCCTCTGTAGTTGACAAAGCAACACACTTTTGTAACTTAGATTATCAAGATACAACTCATCTTGTAAAAGTGAACAAATATCCTGAAGTAGATTTCCTACCACCAAGATCGCCTATCATGTCAGCATCAGTAAACCTTTCTAGAACTGGTTGTGAAACTTCATAAATCAAGCACATTTTTTAAGTACCCCTTAAATATCTAAAAATTCATTTCACTGCTTCCCAATGAACCTTTTCTAGATTAAAAAGAAATCTGCTCACTACACTAATTGCATGAGCAATGTTAGGCCTTGTACAAACTATAAGATACATTAAAAAACCGACTGTAGAATAATAAGGAATACTAGACATAGCTAGTTGCTCTTCTTTAGACACTGGACAAGATTTTTTACTTAGATGAAAATGGTTGGCAAGTGAACTGCTAACTGATTTAGCATGTTACATGTTGAATCTACCAAGCACTCGTTCAACATATTTTTCCTGTGACAACCACACCTTTTCAACTTTTCTATCCCGAATAATATCTATACCAAGAATCTACTTTGCTGGACCTAAATCTTTCATATCAAAAGACTTAGACAATTGTTCTTTCAACCTGTAAACCATACTAGCATCTTGTCCTACAATCAACATATCATCAACATATAATAATAGGATAATGAAGTTACCATTAGGGAATTGTTTAACATACACACAAGAATCTGTTACTATTTTTTTATAGCTATGACTCACCATAAAAGAATCAAACTTTTTGTACCATTTTCGTGGAGCTTGTTTCAAGCTATACAAGCTTTTCTTTAATTTACAAACTAAGTGCTCTTTCCCTTTCACTTTAAAACTCTCAGGCTGATTCATATAAATGTTCTCTTGTAAATCACCATTTAAAAATACAGTTTTAACATCAAGTTGCTAAAGCTCAAGATTCAAACTAGCTGTTAATCCCAGTACCATTCGAATAGAACTAATCTTTACAACTGGAGCAAAGATCTCATCAAAATCGATGCCTGATTTCTGAAAAAAAATCTTTTACTACCAATCGAGCTTTGTACCTTACTAGTTTGTCACTATTCTTTTTCAACTTGAACACTCATTTATTCTTTAATGGCCTCTTTTCTGTTGAAAGTTTAACAGGATCATAAATACCATTCTTTTGCAATGACTCCATATCTTCTTTCATTACTTTTAACCAGTGCTCTCTATCCGGAGTAACTTGTACATCTTGAAAGCTTTCTGGCTTCCCTTCACTGGTAACTAAAATAAAATATTAACTTGGATACCTGATAGATGACTTGCGTTTTTTAGTAGATCTCTTAGGCTAAGACTATACATCACTTGATGCTAAAGATAGCTCATCCTGTTCAACACTCTCAAGTAAAGAGGATTGCTCTTCCTACTCAAAACTAATTACATCTGGCTCATAACCAACTGTGGCTGGCTCATTCATATCTTCAAGTTCTGTTTCTTGCTCATTTCCACTATCTGTGGCTATTTTCTGTGAAATTTTTATTGATGTTGAAACATCACACTCAACAGTAACTCGTGTAGTCTTCTCATTTTTTTCAAGGTCTGTTATGGTTTTTTTTTCATGAAATACCACATCTCTGCTTCTGACTATCTTTTTCTTTATGGATCTCATACCTTGTAACCAAAATTTTCATCACCATATCCTACAAATACACATTGTGTGACTTTACTGTCAAGCTTTGATCTCTGTTCTTTCGATACATACATGAATGTTTTACACTCAAAAATTTTTAAGTGAGAGTATGAAGTATCTTTTCTATCTACACTCTTTTTAGAATGTCAAAGCCCAAAAGAACTGATGGTGATCTGTTAAGTAAATAACAAGCTGTGTTGACTGTTTCACCCCAGAATGACTTTGGTAATTTTATCATCCTCAACATACATCTGACTTTTTTCACAATGGTGCGATTCATTCTTTTAGTTATACCATTATGCTGCGGTGTTCCAAGTTCTATCATCTCATGCCTGATCCCATGCTTTGAGCATTGCTCTTCAAAGCCTTTAGATGTGTATTCTCTACCATTATCAGTTCGAATACACTTCAAGGGTAATCCTATCATCCTTTCAACCATGGCATGAAATTTTTAAAAATACTATAGTATCTGACTTTTGTATTTCAATATATATACCCAAATCTTACGTGAAGCATCATCAATAAAAGTAACAAAATATTTGCTACCACATAATGACTCAACCTCAATAGAATCACATACGTCAGAATAAATTAATTTCAATCTATTTTTTTCTCTGAGAACTTTTATGAAAAAAATTCTATGATGCTTACCAAACAAACAATAATCACATAAATCGAGAGACATACCTTTGGTCAAGAGAATGAGAGACTACCTTGCTAAAACTTGTAACCTTTTTTCACTCATATGTGTCAACTTCCTGTGCCACAAGTTTGCTAAAGCATCATTTTCAATGGTATTTACCTGGTTACCGTTCAATTACATTCATGTCTTATACATTGTGTAGCATAATTTTTTTCTTGCAACTATCATAGATCCTTTGAGAAGCTTCCATTGTCCATTCTTTTGTCAGCTTTCATATCCTTCCTTATCAAGGACTTAATAGCAAGTAAGTTTATTCTTATATCTGAAATATGTCTGACTTTCCTCAAAATCAACATGCAGCCTATACTAGTTTGTACAATAATATCACCAATCCCAATAATCTATGATACACTATTGTTTTTCATTTTGGTACAACCAAAGTCTCTTGCTTTGTAAGTTATAAATAATTCTCTCTTAGGAACACAATGATATGTCGTTCCTATATCAACTATCCACTCAATATTGAGATCACTAACATGATTACAATCATCATGTGTACAAATCAAAGTAATTGAATCACTATCTGAATTCACTGCTGTAACATTACCATCATCTGAACTCTTATCTTTCTTATCTTTTCGCTTTTGCTTTAAGATTTTACAGTTTTATTTTATATGACCTACCTTACCACAATAGAAACACTTCATTTTACCTCTAGACTTGGATCTATGTTTAGACTTATCATTGCCTTTTGAGTCATGACCTCTGTCGATGTTTCTACCCTTATTCTTTGTGATCAGAGCCTGATTCTCAAAGTCTACATCTTTTCACCTTGCTTCTTCATTAAGCATACTATCTTTTACCTTATTTAATGTCATCTTATAATCAGGAGCTGAATTAAGAACAGTCACAACTAGAGTATTTCAACTATCTAGCAATGAACCCAAAGGAAATAATGCCTTCATTTCATCATCCATCTTAAGCTCCATAGTAGTCATCCGATTAAATATGTCTTAAAAATCACTCAAGTACTCTGTAACAGATCGTCCATCATTGTACTGTAAAGTTGTAAGCTTTTTAACAAGCATAACTTTATTCATACCTATTTTTCTCTCATATAATGCTATCAATTTTTCTCAAACAATGTGAGCATCTGATTCTTGCGTTACATGATGGAACACACTGATATCAACCTATTTTTTGATTGTAGCTAGCGTCTTTCTACCTAGCTTCTTCTAGCTTTCAACTTTTATATCTGTTGGTTTAACCGAATCACCCAATACTGACTTATACAAATCTTTACAGTATAGATGATCCTCCATCATAGGCTTTCAAATTGAATAATTCGATGCTGTTAATTTTATCATGAAACCTGTATCACCCTTCATGATTTCAAATAAAATTTACTTCTATCCTGAGTTACTTCTGTATCGATGTCTCAAAATAACCCATGCTCTGATACCACTTGTTGTGCTTGAAGCAATAATCACAATAATACAGAAGCAATAGACAACAATCAATAATAAAAAAAATATAAAAAAAATAAAATATACTAAGATTTACCTAAAAAACCCTCCAGTATAGAGGAAAAAAAATCACGGACCATCAGAAAAATTTTCACTATCAAATAATAGATATATAAAGTTCTTCTCGAGCTAAAACTAGAGCTAATCAACAACTAGAGAAACAATTGAAGAAATCTTATCAAATAAGTGACTCAACAAATACACCATGGATTTATTCCTAGAGAGCTTCAAATCCGATCTTCACCGTTCAAAATATAAAACTCTGAATCATAAACCTTTTGACAATGTTCCAACTTAATCGGACCACAGATCGAATTTCGTTTAACCAACTCTCCCTTCTCTTTTTTTTTAATTTTTTTTTTTCTACTTAATTTTCGATACACACTTAAAATAACCCCACCTTTTTTTTTATTAAGTAGCTAGAACTCTGTGTAAAATGAAAGATTAAGGCTCATGACCTTTACTTGATCCAAAACTACTTACATGAGATATGATCCAATTTTTCTAACACTATTTGGTAGCCCTAAGAAGATAGCCTCAATGACAACCGTTCATTGAAGCCGTCCATATTTAGTTTGCTTTGAGTTTGACTCGTCCTAGGCAGGACAGTAAGTCACGATTCTACTCCTTGTTGGTGCAAACCCTGAATTTGGTAAGAAACCCGTAGAGTTCTCTTCTTGGCTCTTATCCTTTTTTAAACAAATGCTTGTGAATTGTTTCACGAGTACGATGATAAGTTAATGAAAGCTTTAAGCAGAAGAAACCAACAAAGCCTTAGATTGGATTATTCAAACAAAAGCCGCAGTGAATAAAAGTGGAAAAGTAATGTGAGATCTTAAGGCGGGCCCTTGACTTTGCATTGCCTGTTAAACCTCTTCACATGCAATCCCTATTTCAAAACAATACAAAGCAACCATCAAGACCACCACATGTATTCCTCCCCCTTCCATATTTTGCAAGAACAAAAACAATGAATACAAACCCATGTGGAAGACAACCACGTTTACAGTTCAAAAATAGTCAGCTAATGTAAGGACCCACCACCGACACTTCAATTTTCTCTATTCCCATTTTTATCTTTACGGCTTGATTAACACTTGCACAAAGTAACACGTCACCTCCTCCTATGCACCGCACTGAAATATTGTGCCATCCCTATCATTCACTGCTCCTTCCTCCCAACCTCTTGTTTTAAAGTCTCTGTCCGTCTTTTTCTTCCTTTCACATTCGCTACACAACAAGTGAGAGCCCAAGAAGGAGTCTCTCGTTTTCTTTACTTCCAAAATGCCGTTTAACTTGGCGGTGGCATTCTTTTGCGCGACATCTTACCTTTTTGCCATTGCCGGGGCTGACGATCCTTACAGGTTCTTCAACTGGAATGTTACCTACGGTGACATTTACCCTCTGGGCGTTCGTCAAACGGTGAGCCTTCAATGATTAATCTGATTCATTTTTCATTGATAGTCACTGTTGAATGTTGATCTATATGAAAATGATGCTCATGATGTTAGTTACCTTTTTTTTCCAGGGTATTCTCATCAATGGGCAATTCCCAGGCCCTGATATCCACTCTGTTACCAATGACAATCTCATTATCAACGTGTTTAACAGCTTAGACGAGCCTTTTCTCATTTCCTGGTAAGATCCAATCATCCGATGTTCTCTCCACAAAGATTTTACAGCAACATTTTACGCGCCCATTGTTTAAAAAGACGAATGTCCCCCATTTATTTTTCAATTATCTGATTATTTCACTGCCACATGCCACACGGGGACATATTTGTAATCTACAGGCATTCGTCTGACAGCAATCCGCCTTAGTCGGTCACTAAACAATCAACTTGAGTTTTTTCTTTCTCAAAGATTGCTTTAGATTTGTTTGTGATTAAAGAACGTCTGATCGGTCTGGTTAGTTCACGTTACTACTTCGGTTCTTCCGTGCCATTCTTGTCTTTCTTTCGGCATTGTTAAGTGTGAACGCTAGAGAAAACATCCATGTGCTTGGTGTCATTGCAGATCTGGCTTTAATAGACCCGATTCACTTCATTTCTTAATTATTTTCTGCGAAAAGAATATAAAGATTGTTCACGAACTTGGCACTCCAATTTTCATTGTTTGTCGTGGTATTAGCTGGGCACACGAAAATCATTGTCTGTCTTTGGTATCGGTATATTACTAAGCAAGTTCTGTGCTTTGCTGTAATTAGAAAAGCCACTTGTCCATTATTAAGAGTGACAGCTTTTAATTGTTGAATTGGTCGTTAATCTACCTAATTAAAAATTTAAAACCCACTAATCATCCATGGTCCAAGTGGTCCATTTTTTATTAGCTGTTTCCCACACGTAAAAGATATGGGAAGATGCTTAGGTGGATTAGGAATTTTTGGATAGAGATCTGGATCCGTAGGAAGGAAAATATTAGTCTTATCATTTATAATTTGTTAATCTGAAAGCTATTTGACCCGTCAAACATTTGCATTTTCCTTATGAAATTTGATATACTAGTAAATATTTTTGCCTTGGATAGATGATTCATTTATGAACTTGCTACCAAAATGTCAGACACACAATCAAGTACTATTGGACTGTTGTGTTATATTGCATTGAATTATTGGCCTGTTGGAAAGTCGTAAAAGGGTAGAAAAGTTGTAATTGTCTACAGGTAATGAGTCCAACAAGTGGTTTGCAGTTTAGCATCTCAATGTAGTGAACTTCAGGAAAGATACCATTTAAAATTGGCTCGTGAATCGTGATCAACCTGCACCATTGTAAATTAGCAAATACTAGTTGTAGTTGTTAGCTGTAACCTACGTCTAGATGGTAAATGTAGGAATGGAATCCAACAAAGGAGGAATTCTTATGAAGATGGCGTATATGGAACAACCTGCCCTATTCCACCCGGAAAGAACTTCACATACATTCTTCAGGTCAAGGATCAAATAGGAAGCTTCTATTACTTCCCCTCTCTTGCATTCCACAAGGCTGCTGGTGGTTTTGGAGGGATCAGGATCCTTAGCCGACCACGGATTCCGGTTCCCTTCCCGGATCCTGCTGGGGATTACACTGTTCTTATTGGAGATTGGTACAAATCCAACCACACGGTAATCATCCTACATTTTTTAAAGCCTTGGTATATTTAAATTTCATTGCTTTTAGTTGGAAAAACGCATACTATTCATACCGTGGGTGTGGGTCCTGTGGGATATGCAAAAATTTAACATGGTGGGATCATTGCCTGTCTGGGGATTGTAAATGCGTTGGCAACATAACAAAGTTGGATAAATGAAGCAAATGGGCTTTATTTGACTATTCAATGCTCTGGCTTTTGTGCTTTTTGACAGCTGGTTTTCCTGACTGGTCTTTTCGTTGTCATTTCCTGCTGAGTTTTTTAAACCTCGAGTTTACTTTGATTTATTAAAAATCCGCGCGGTTTAAAAATTATCTGAAAAAAGCGTTCTTTTTAACAGATCTGAAAAAGCATTTGTTTTATTGTCATGCAGGATGTATGTCTATTTATTATTTCTCTCTCTCTCTCTTTTTTCTTATGATGAAGCATCATCATTCTCGATTATCCAAAAGCATCAGCATATGATAGTTTCTTGGGTTGCTCATCTTAGGTCCCAGAGCAAACTAGGTGTTCTTGTCATGGATTCAAACAGGTAGCTTGCCATCTGGCCCCAGCACATGCCAATAAAGTCTCCTAAGTACTGTTGGTGGGATAGTTAATTTGAAGTTAATAGTTCCATAAGATTTTGATTTTATTGAAGTCTGATATAAGTCTTAGTCTGGCTCATAAGGAATTGAATGTGCTTGTGCAGGATTTGAAAGCTCAGCTGGATGGTGGTAAGAAGCTACCTTTCCCTGATGGAATCCTTATTAATGGTCGTGGACCTGGTGGTGCCTCCTTCAATGTTGAACAAGGTATATAATCACTCTAATATTCAAAATCAAGTCCTAAAATTTTCATTTGTTTTAAAGTTTTCTTAAGGAAAAAAAAAAAGAACAATGTGATACATGCATAAACATGTTCTGCATCATCTATATTGCAGGGAAAACCTACAGGCTTAGGATATCAAATGTTGGGTTGCAAAATTCTCTCAATTTCCGCATCCAAAACCACAGGATGACGTTGGTGGAAGTGGAGGGAACACACACTCTTCAAACTACCTACTCGTCAATAGACCTTCACCTTGGCCAATCGTGTTCTGTTTTATTTACAGCTGATCAGCCTGCACAAGACTATTACGTTGTGGTCTCCGCTCGCTTTACCGACACTGTCCTCACCTCTACAGCAACTCTTCGTTATAGCAATTCTGCTGGACCTGTCTCTGGTCCTCCTCCGGGTGGACCCACCATCCAAATTGACTGGTCTTTGAACCAGGCCCGCTCTATCAGGTATTTTCTCAACCATCATCACAAGCTGCACAAGCCACAAGCTGCACAAGCTTTTTGGCAAACAACACGTTATGTGTGTTCTAATCTAATTATTCACATGTATCTCTTTCAGGACTAACCTTACAGCAAGTGGACCAAGGCCTAACCCACAGGGTTCATACCACTATGGTCTCATTAACACAACCAGAACCATCAGGCTTGCAAATTCTGCCGGGCAAGTTAACGGCAAGCAAAGATATGCAGTTAACAGTGTTTCCTTTGTTCCAGCGGACACTCCTCTGAAACTTGCCGACTATTTTAGAATTGACGGAGTTTTTCGCGGTGGAAGCATATCCGATAATCCTTACGGGGGAGGGATATATCTTGACACTTCAGTTATGAATGCTGATTATAGGTCTTTTATTGAGATTGTGTTTCAGAATGATGAGGACATTGTACAGAGCTGGCATCTTAGTGGCTACTCTTTCTTTGTTGTTGGGTAAGCAAATCATTTCACCTGAATAATCCAAAAGACATTGCTTGGATTTATTCTGATTTATTGGTTTCTAAACCATTTTGAAATGCAGCATGGACGGGGGGCAATGGACACCAGATAGTAGGAACGGATACAACCTCCGGGACGCAGTTTCTCGTTGTACCACTCAGGTAACAAATCAACAACTTTCTTCATTTAGCTCATCTTAAAACTTCACTTTCCCACCAAAATAGATGGGCCTGGAAGAACAAGATTGTGACATTTGATACGCTGTGAATGCAGGTGTATCCTAAGTCATGGACTGCCATTTATGTGGCACTTGACAACGTAGGAATGTGGAACGTGAGGTCTGAGTATTGGGCAAGACAGTACCTTGGACAACAATTTTATTTGCGTGTGTACACAACCTCAACTTCACTCAGGGATGAGTACCCCGCCCCCAAGAATGCACTTCTTTGCGGTAGGGCAAGCGGCCGAAGCACCCGACCCCTTTAAGCGTGAATAGAATAGAGTTGGGCAGAGAAAATCTGTCCAGCGTAGGTGGAAAAAGATTGAAGAGCAGAGTTTTGCCTTATAATCTTACTATTTAGCCCATTAATTGTGCTAATGTGAGGTGTGGATGAGCATGTATGATTGGAGCTTTAATATTAATAGACCTCAGCTCGAGGTCGCATTCTTTCTTACCATGATTTGTATTCCCATTGTATCGTTCAACTTTTCGAGCTTTAATTATTTCTTTCATATATTGAAGCCAGCATTGTTCTGTTTGTTAATCAAGTATTATATTAAGATAAAGAAATGGTTCTTTTCACCCAAAAAAAAAAAAGAAAAAAGAAGAAAGGAATGGTTGCAACAGCTTTGGCATGAATCAAGTATTGTTTTTTTTTTTTTGGTAAGTCAGTTTGTTCATCCAAAAAAGTAGGCTAGCCTATTACAAATTGTAACATACTGCTCTATACCTGCGTCAGAGTAATTACAATAGCTGAACTTCAATGTTAAAAATTCACATGTTTTGTTAAAGCATGTTAGTTTAACTTTTATTTTTAGATCATTCAGTAAGTTTTCTCTTATTTTTGTTTCTAAATACGTTTTTAACTTGTAAAAGTGAAAAACAATAGTAGTAATAAAAATAAGGAAAGGTATTAAAAAAATTTATAAACTATAATTAAATAATAATTTAAGTTACTATTATTTTACTGTAATCAATTAAGTTTTCAAATGTTTTTCACTAATTAAACTTTTATTAAATAAAAATTGATTAACTGTAACATTAATTTCTGTTAAATTAAAGATTTAATTGGATAAAAATATATGTTTAAAAGATTTTTTGCCGGTGTTTAAGGGGTTTTAGGATTCAATTGAGTGAAAACAAATATTTAAGGGTTCAATTAAAAAAAATGAATGTTTGTAGTCTCAATTTATTACAATAGAAGTTTATATAATTATTTAATTTTTATTTAAATATTTTTTATACTTAAGCCTAAAAATAACACAAAACTGAGATGATTTCATGGAATTAATGATTTTGGTCCAAGTAATGGGTCATGCATAAACTTCATGGGCCTTTTAGGACTAAACTTGGGTTAGGAAAAAAGCCCATTAAAATGGTTTGTGGATCACAGCCCACAGCCCACTGACCTCTCCCTCTTCTCAGTAATTCGCGAGATTTGACTCCACGCCTTCTTTTCACTTGACTTCAGGCCTTAAAGACACAAATTGAACAAAAACTTACGAATCCCCCAGATCGTTCTTATTGCGCCTCTTAACGATTCTCCAATCATATAATCCCACGTGTGATGATAACCCACTGACACATTTTAGTCAAAACAGTCAACCCATCCTGCGGATACAAAAAACAGAATCAAAACCCTTGTCTAAACATTTTTTTTTTATAACCATCACTCTGTTTAGAGGTAGAGCAAAAGCAAAGCCCTGAGGCAAAACTCTGTTTCTATTTTCTGTTCTCGGCAGGATCCGAATCTCAAATCCCATCTACATCGGGCATCAGGTAATAACTTAGTCATTTCAATGATTTCTAGGTTTTGAAACCTGCGGTTTTATTTTTCTTTTCACTTTCTTGTTCGCAGTTAAGCTACTGTTTGGTTTTTTAGAAAATTTTCGGTTAGTTTCTTTGTGAAATGAGGGAAATGAAGTGAAAATGCTGAACATAGCGTTGCAGCATTTTCGATTTGGTTATTTTTAGATGTGTTTCGTTTTTGTTGTTGGATTCAATTATCTTTTTCTTGATTCAGGGTTTCTTTTGAGTACCAAGGCTCGAGCTACTCTCGTCCTCGTTATTTTCCATGGCGGTGCGTTATCTGCCTAATACTACTTATTTTCAGTTATGTAGATTTAATTTTTATCCTTCGTTCTTTCGAAGTTTTATTTTGCGTATGATTTGCTTGGTAATTGTGACAGATTGAAAAAATTCTTAAAGATGATGCTAGTGAGGAGAAGGGGGAGATGGCTAGAATGGTAAGCCATTATAATTTATGTAAATAAATATGATGCTGGTAATCATGGTTTAAAGGAAAAAAAAATACTACTTGTTTGGAATTCTGTGATTATACTTTTATTGCAGTCTTGCTATTTTGTTTATCTTCAATAAAATATGGTATGCATGTTCTCTGTTACTGTCAGGCATCATTTGTTGGGGCAATTGCAATTAGTGACTTGGTTAAGACAACCCTTGGGCCAAAGGGAATGGTAAGTTTTCCTCGTTTAAAAATTAAAAGACTGAGTAACTATTTTTATTCTACTTTAAGTCATGACTTTCTTGTTGGTGAAATTTTCTGGCAGGATAAAATTTTACAATCAACCGGCAGAGGACGTGAAGTCACTGTTACAAATGATGGAGCTACCATCTTAAAGTCCCTGCCTATTGACAACCCAGCTGCAAAAGTCTTGATTGGTATCCTTATAATTGATTTTATCTTCTTGACTACACTTTATGAATAACTTGGTTGGTTTTTGGTCAACACTTTTAAAACTTGCATGAGTTTGAATTTTTTTTTGGTGTGCAAGACTATATGACAGAATTGTTAATGGTTCAGTGGGCCAAACAGAATTATTGAATTTTTGTGGAAATAGCTTTGTATTTTTAGATAATGACCTTAATACAAAATTCAGACATTTCAAAAGTTCAAGATGATGAAGTTGGTGATGGGACAACTTCTGTTGTTGTTTTGGCTGGAGAGCTTTTAAGGGAGGCAGAAAAGCTAGTGGCTGCTAAGATTCACCCCATGACCATAATATCAGGTTCTTTTGGCCTCATTTAGTACGTTGCTTTCTAGTGTTCTTCTTTTATGCTGCCTCTTGCTTGTCCTTATTCACCCTTGATAAATAAATATATATTTTTTGTCCTTTCCACTAAATGCTGCATTTATATTTTGAGGCTTGTATGTGTTATTATTGCAAAGGCATTAAACTAACGCAAATTTAAACTTGTTATCTAGTTTCCATATACTGATAGCATTAAGAGAGTCAGGGATTATAGCAATGTCATTCTTTTGTGTAATACTTTCTGACTTGCTTCTATCACATAAAATTGAAAGCAATTGCATTATAAAGGTGAACCTGAAAATTAACTGTTAAACTTTAATACTTCTCTCTCTTTTTACTCCTGATGGTAGTAAATTTTTCAGCATCACATTTTCATTTAATTTGTGCAAATTTTCTTTCTGATCTTAATAGCTGCATAATTGCATTTGTATCTAGAATATATTTGGTTTTATTCTCTGTTTTATTTTGCTGGTGTGAAAACTGCCAAAAATGTTTTGTTTAAAAGATAACAATATATGCTGGTTTTTGTAGGTTATCGAATGGCGGCCGAGTGTGCTCGTAATGCTTTGTTGCAGAGGGTTGTGGATAACAAAGGGAATGCAGGTGAAGATTGTTGGATATCATTCATTTTATTTGTGTATGGATTGTATGATACCTGTATCATTTGCCCAATTTTTAGGTTTTGTTGCTTCCTTATTGAACTAGATTCTTTAATGTGCTTGACTTGATAAAATCTGTAATTGACTTTTTCTTGCCATTAGAATTCATCTTTACCCCTATCGTAGTTGTTTCTTATGCACGTAGCATTTCTGAATTTTGCAGAGAAATTCAAGTCAGACTTGATGAAAATTGCAATGACCACTCTGAGTTCCAAAATTCTCTCTCAGGATAAGGAGCATTTTGCACAACTAGCTGTGGATGCTGTTATGAGGTTAAAGGTGATAATTTTATCTAACATTTAAAGATTAAAGATAAATGTTTCAATGAAGGGTGTTTTGGCAATTTTGTTGGCAATTCCCATTACATTTATTTTATTACTTTAATTGAATTTTTTTTCCATATTTACTTACAGACTTGTATGGCATGTTTTTTGAAACTGCAGGGGAGCACAAATTTAGAGGCCATCCAAATTATCAAGAAGCCTGGAGGATCTTTGAAGGATTCTTTCTTAGATGAAGGGTGAGTTCTTATGAGCTTCTTATCCCTTCAATATTTACTACAATAGTTTTTTGGTGGGAGTGGCTGGGTCTCTAGTATGACATCCTTTCCTTTGATTCCCTATATTCTGCAAAATTTTTGCTCCCATTTTATCACATTTATTTCTCATGGATAATTTTTTTTTTATGTATCCTAATATTGTAAGAAAGAAGGATGCTATCAGCTGCAATTCATTGCAGAGTTTGCTGCATTGTTTCTTATTGTCATTGAATGGTTAGGCATCACTTAGGAAATTTTATTTTATTGATTTAAACATAAATTTTATGCTTTCAGATTCATTCTTGACAAGAAAATAGGGCTTGGACAACCAAAACGAATAGAAAATGCTAAGATTTTGGTGGCAAATACTGCAATGGATACAGATAAAGTGAAGATATATGGTGCACGTGTTCGTGTTGATTCAATGTCTAAGGTTGCTGAAATTGAAGGGGCTGAGAAGGAAAAAATGAGAGAAAAGGTGCAAAAGATCATAGCACATGGGATTAACTGCTTTGTTAACAGGCAGTTGATTTACAATTTCCCTGAAGAACTCTTCGCTGATGCGGGAATACTTGCAATTGAGCATGCTGATTTTGATGGGATAGAGCGCCTGGCTTTGGTAACAGGTGGTGAAATCGCTTCAACCTTTGACAATCCAGAGTCAGTTAAGCTTGGACATTGCAAGCTTATTGAAGAAATTATGATTGGTGAGGACAAGTTGATCCACTTTTCTGGTGTTGCAATGGGTCAGGCTTGTACTATTGTGTTGAGAGGTGCAAGGTATGGTATTGCAGTATCTCCTCTTGTTGTTTTCCTTAATATTTTTGCATTCTCCATGACATGCTACTGTTTGTGGCAGCCATCATGTGCTGGATGAAGCTGAAAGGTCTCTGCATGATGCCTTGTGTGTGCTGTCTCAGACGGTCAATGATACTAGGGTATTGCTTGGAGGTGGATGGCCTGAGATGGTAATGGCGAAGGAAGTGGATGAACTTGCACGGAAGACTCCTGGAAAGAAGTCTCATGCTATTGAAGCTTTCTCACGGGCACTTTTGGCCATCCCAACAATTATTGCTGACAATGCTGGTCTGGACAGTGCAGACTTGGTAGCTCAGCTTCGTGCCGAGCATCACAAGGAGGGATGTAACGCAGGGATTGATGTCATCTCTGGATCTGTAAGTGCTGAAATTAAATTATTTTAAAAATCAAAATAGTATCTAATGTATTTATTATGGATGGTTGGTTTGAACATGGCTACAAATTTGTTTCTTTGGCCGTGTCTACCCATCTCCACTCTCCAGTCAGTAATTTCTTGTTTTGTCTTAAAAGATATTAAAAGATATAGTCTTAGTTGCTGAAACTTGTGATGCCCTTAATATGAAATTAGAATTATGGAGGAGTACATTGGAGTCTCAAGGTTTTAAATTGAGTAGATCTAAAACTGAATAAGTGGGTACTAGTGTGATTAAGTTGGATGGTGAGGGAGAATCAAAGAATAGCCAGTTTCGATATTTGGGATCAATTATTCAGAGTGATACTGAGATAGAAGTAGATGTTAAACATAGGATTCAAGCAAGATGGGCGAGGTGGCAAAGTGTTTCAAGTGTTTTGTGTGATTGTAACATGTTTTTAAAGTTAAAAATGAAGTTGTATAAAACAATTGTAAGGCTTGTATTACAATATAGAACTGAGTGTTGGGCTGTTAAGAAACAACATGAGAAGAAAATGAACGTAGCGGAGATAAAGATGCTTGGATGTGTGGTAAGATTAGAAGAGACAAATCAGATATGAAGAAATTTGAGAAAAATTAGGGGAAGTCCAAATTGAAGAGAAGATGAGAGAAGACTGTTTGTGATGGTTTGGACATGTTGAACATAGGCCTAACTGTGCGTCGGTTAGGAGAATTGAGTCTCTAGATCTAAGAGATATCAAAACATCTAGAGATAAACCACGAAAGATATGGATGCAAGTAATAATAAACAATATAATGGTTAAAAAATTATATGAAAAGGTCGTTGTTGTTAGAAATGAGTGGCGCAAGAAGATTTAAACTATAACCTAACCTGATTTTCTTTTTGGTTTTTCATAGAGCTGACTCCAGAGTATGGGATATAAGACTTATTGTGTTGTTGTTGTCATTTTAAAAGATATTGCACTTAAAGTAGCGTTTGATTTTAAGATCACTGTGGTGATCCAAATACCAGAGTTAATAAGATCACTTTAGTGATTTGATTACTAATGTTTTAGATTATACTCTGTTTGGTGTAATATTAGAAATCATTAGTGTAATATTACAAGGCTGTGATCTAAGGTCATTGTCACTTAAGATGCCTAAGTTATTACCACCCTCGATTTTAAAGAGATCATCTCATATCAAACACCATCTAAGAGATTCGATATCTTGAGAGTATTCATCCTAATGTTATAGATTCAAATATTGATTGATCACGACCTATTTGGTAGACAATATGGGTTTTGATTGTATTTGTATACAATCAAACAACATGGAATCCTTATAATTTTTCTTCCTAGCTGTGACACCAATGTATGTTTCATCTTATTACAGGTAGGAAATATGGCTGATCTGGGAATCTCTGAATCCTTCAAAGTCAAGCAAGCTGTATTGCTCTCTGCAACTGAGGCTGCTGAGATGATTCTTAGAGTCGACGAAATTATTACATGTGCTCCAAGGAAGAGAGAAGACAGAATGTGAAAACGACACATTGCCAAGGGCACATTTATTGTAACGGATAACTATCTCGGCATTTGCTTCTTGATGTTGCTGCAATATTGTTGAATTCTAGAACTGATGTTTTGTGGCCTGTTTCAGTTTTGGCTCTTTTCAAGAACTGAAACCAACGGCTTTCTGATTCGGTAATCGTATTATTAATGATAAATTTTCCATAGCTGATTTGAGTTGAATATTTTTGCCTTCTGCAACTTGTTGCTTTTTTTCTTTTACTTTTATGTTGTTTAAAATAATAATACCATTAAGAAGTTGGAAGCCATCGTGCCAATTACATAACTACTTCCGTGGCAAACATAAAGAACTGGCTTGTATTATTACGTCTTTGTGGATCAACAGTCTATGATGACATGTTCAAAGTTTCGGAATTTCTACCTGATTTTCAGATTTCCCATTAGGCAGCCCGCAGTCTCCCTACTCATGAGGTTTGGAGAATTAGTTACACAACTCTGATACAATAATTTTCCCTCCAAATATATTAAGAAAGTAAATGCGTTCAAATTATTCAGATCTCATGTTCATTTATAGTGAAGCTGCTAAACGATGGAGGTCAACATAGCCAGACAGCACAGCTCGATTTCTTTCTTTCGCCTTTACCCGATATATGACCCTGCAGATTATAGCACCAACATCAGATCTCCATTCATTTGAATTTACTTTTAAGATGTAACATTGACTTCAAGTCTTACTCGGAAGAAAGATTACAATATTCCGAACGAAATTGTACCTCATGCCTTCGAGCCACATCTCAGTAACCAATGTTTCACCAGGATACACATGTAAAAGAAATCGTCCAGATATGTTTTTGATCATGTCTGGATCTCCCCTGCAAATACATTTGATGATTGCCCGAACTGCAAACCCAAGGGTGCACAATCCATGCAAAATTGGCCGCGAGAATCTTTGAACATGGGACAACAAGAATAAATCAGTAAAACACTTAGGGTGCATATGCACTTTGTCAAGAAATGAAAACCAGACTTTTCAACAAAATTCAACCATAGCCTCAAAGACAAGAACAAGTAAGTATGATTAGCCTTCTGTAACAGCATTGAAGTTAAGTAGTGCACTAACCCTGCAACTTTTGCAACCATAGGATCTGAATGCAGAGGATTATAATCACCAGATAACCTATACAACAATGCCTGCCAAAGCAGAAAAGAAGTTACCAACTTCTGGAGAAGCTTGACATAAAAAAGCATCTCATAGACGCTTGAATACAGATGCTGTCAAACTAGTCCACTGTATATAAATTATATAACCGGAAAGGGATTGTAGTTAAAGAACACATCTTTTATTTTGAAAGCAACAGAAAAGCCATTAGAAACTAATCACGATATTTTAATGCTACATGCCTGAGAAGGTCGGCTACAATCCTCAAATACCGCAAAAGGTTGACTTTGTGGGATTCTCAAAGCTGAAGCCTGGTTTGCTGGATAGTTTGAGTATGTAAAGGGATGAGATGGATCTGAGAAGCCACCAGCACCCCGCAAAAAGATGCTTGACCTGAAGAATCATTTCTAGATTAATTAACTGCAGCATGATAGTATTAGAACAGATAATGTAGAAGAGAACTCACCGATTCATGCTCAATAGTTCACCAGACTCTTTCTCATAACTTCTGGTTTCAATCTCAAGTACTGCTGCTTTACCTTAATATCTCAGAGGAATGAAAAAAGCCACCAAGATTATTGCTTATAACAGATCACCATCCTTTCAAAAAATATACTTGCAAGCATTTCTTCTCTTTGGATTTTATTTTTACAGTTTTTCCAGAGGCTAACAAAATAAGGAAGCAACAACTAATTTCTTTGTGCTTATTATCCTCAAAAATTCACTTTTATGTACAGACACATTCATCAAAGTGAAGCCTGCCAGAGCAGCAGACTTATACTGCCATAAAACAATTAGACTTCATCATCTCTATTTAGACACATACCACCTGAAATTTCAGTTTACAGCATTTCAGGTAATGAGACCAAACCTTTATCATGCAATCCTGCAAGACTTATTTTATTATGTATCTGCAAAAAAGTTGACAACAACAATAATTAATTACAGTATTAAACAAAGTTGACAGAGAGATGCAAAACTATTGTATTCCTCTAGAAGACTACATTTATGTCCCAATGTTTTATAAGTATACAGCGTCATATTTAAGTGCCAGATGTATTTGATTAGAATCCAGTTGAAATTCTCAAACTAGGATAGTTGGATATGTGGGATTCTGAGCAATTTAATTTTGACATCATCCCAGATATATATAATAATTCAGCGATAACCACATTCAGGAATATTATAATTTATAAACAACTTCCCAGTTGGCAGTATTATGGACTTACAGTGCCATTTGAAGGAAGTGGCTTGTATACTTCTATGTATTGTTGTCCATGCAACAGAAGACTTGGATCAAATCTGTTAATAACAAAAACTAGACAAATTCATGAGTTTATCTTTTGAAGCTTTAAACAAATTGTAAAACTCTGTCAATAAATCAAAGAGAAAAAGAAAGACTGCATTTTTTTTGAGAGAGGGGGTGGAGTTACATGATGTGGATTAGAACTTACGTCAAGCCAGGCAGATCCATATCTTGTGGCATAGATTCAAGTGTAAATATTGCAGAAAATGTTGGCAAAACCTGAGAAGCAGGTAATAGAAAGCTTATCATGTCCATAAGTAAACTTACAACCAACAAGCGACGTTGGTTTGTTTCTAGCAGATTAACACACCTCCAGTGCCTCCCAAGTCCCAAGCGATAAATAAAAAAAGTCTTTCTCTTTTCATTTCTTTTTACTGAAACCTCAGTTTGTGTTAACAATACTGACATATAAGACATCCCATTTGCAGTTCAAATCAGCTTTTCAGGAATTCAAAGGCAATTCCATATTACCACTCGGCTAAAACAAGTTAAGCTAGAACAAAATAACAAATTTGCAAACACATGTTCCAATTAAAGAATCATAACGAGAATATCATCTTTATTCTTTAGTTTCATAGTCAAAAACAAAAACCGACTGATTGATAACCTTGATAAACTGCTGTCCATTTTCATGGTAACCATATTTAAGTTCATCAGTATCAACAGCGTTTCCACCACATGCTCCAACACCCAAAGCATAGACAGCTACATCTCTGTGTACAAGGAAACATATCAATGTCATACAAATTACATTTAAAAATAAAAGTTGCATATGAAGCTGAGGAGCGAGGCAATACCTCTCAGTATAAGTATATGTTGTCTGCAACAAAAATTAGGTAAGAATCAGATAACAGAAGCATATACAAAAACAAGATGTGAAGAACCGGAATTCCATTCAAGAAAAGGATACCTCGGGGAATTTATGTGAAAGAAGGAGCTGCGGATTGCAAGCCGAAGTAACCGCCATAGCAGCTTCTTGAAGATGATTATCGATAACTAGCAGTATTAGATTGCAGCCAAGATGATGAATTGATGGTCAATAGTCAATCCCAATTAAAGGGTCAATGAATCTGATATATATTGAATTTTGAGGATCGATTTGGATAGAAGCTGAACAAAGAAATTGGTAATTACCAAATCTGAGAAACGAAAATAGAGGGTGGTTCAGACTTGACATCAGAGTGGGTCCATGTTGTTTTCATTTGTCTTAGGCGTTTAAGCAATCGGATGTGGTCTGGGTTCGGGCCTTTGGGGTTCCCAATGTTGTCACAAAAATAAATTAAATTATTTCACCAACTATTTTTATTAGTTTTTCAGAATAGGTTCGTGACAGCGGGCCATGGTCCTTAATATTAGTTTTGATAGAGTTTGGGCTTCGGATGTCTATTGGCCTATTTTTATGCATTGGTCAAGATTATCTGCATGTTGAATCAGCTGAATTGGCCCATGGGTTTGAATTCAATCGGCATTGGTCCATAAGTTTATAAAAGTTTGTTACGATTCAGATGTCTTGGGGTATGTCTGTTGGCCCATGGATTTGATTGGAATTGGTCGACATATGTATAGAAGCTAGTTAGGATTCAGTTGGGTTGGCCATGGTTGAATCATGGTCTTGTCTCCTGAACCTGTATTATGTTCAGACTTCAAACTTGAAACTCATCAAAACCATACACTGTTCGCCAGTGACTGCCGCCGTCTAACTAAACACTTGAACTTTAACAATTGGTTTGTGGGCGGAAAAAGAAAAAAAAAAGAAAAGAAAACACTTTTTTTTAAGAAAAAAAAAAAAAAGCTTAAACCCTTCTCTTCTCAACGCTTCGCTAAGAGCCGTTTGGTATTCCAAAATGTCCTACAAGAGCGGAACCGCGCAGGTTAGGAAATACACGGAGGTGCGGCTTCTTAACGACGCCGTTCAGTCCTTGCCTTATCACGTCGTCAAAGAGCTTTTGTATAATGGGGTAATTGGTGCCGAACTCCTGTCCGAAGGAGTTCTTGAAAAGATGGATGAAAAAAAATGATGGTTAAAGTTAAAGATAGAATGTGTTTTTTGCGTTTATATTTTAACACGTAAATAAAAAAGGTTGTGGTGGAAAAGAAATCAAGACGAAGAAAAATGATATTAAGAATGTCATATGAATTTGATATGTTAAAAATGATAAAAATAATAAAAATATTCTTAATTATTTGTTAAAAACTTAAAAAAAAAATCATTATACTTTTTTTTTATCATCAGATGCCCTTAATAATTTTTATTCATAAATTAACTAATCCAAATTCGCTCTATTATTGTATTAACATTTGAATTTGATAAACTAAGTTAAAATCAATCAAATTTTGGCCTTTTTTTTTTTTAATGTTTATTTTCGAGACCCATCCTACGGCTATTTGGTACCGAGGAACATATTTGTTGTCATCCTTCGTTTTCACAATCGATGCTCCGTTCATTTCTTGAAGAAGTAACTTGCTTCAAATTGGAATTCGAGTTTAAATTAGCAGTCGAAGGGAAAGACGCCTGCTGGAGCCTTAGAAAATGGTTGGGACTGTGGTTTGGCCGACCGAGACTTTACTAACAGCTTGGGACCCAGGTTTCACATAGAGCCCGCAACGCGGGGAAGATTAATAAGGTGCGCGTGGCTTTCGTTTGAAATCATCTACTAATATTATAAAAATAATAATAAATAAAAGAAGCAGTCTATTAAGTAACCTAGTACACTGACTTTTTCTAGTTTTCTTAGAATTATTTTACCATGTGAATTTCTCACTTGTGGTTGCCTTACACCATCTTTTGATTGAGAGGATGAGATGGAAAGGAAAAGAAAATAATGAAAAATAATGAAAATAACAATTTTTTTGTTTCAATAAATTTTTAATTAAAAAAAAAGGTGAAAATTCAATTTCTCTTATAATTTTTATTTTTTTAATGCTGTAATTTGGGAGAAAATTAAAAAAATTTAAAAAAATTTTATTTTTATAAAAAAATTATTATATTCATTAGTGCTCTAAAATCATAAAAAAAATTATTATAATAAATCATTTTTTTCACTTTTTATTCAAATAATATTTATTAGATTTTTTAAATTTTTTTATTAATTTTAATTATTTAGATAAGAGGTAAATATATATATTTAAAATTTTTTTGTTAATATTTATCTAAACAGTGCGATAGGGGATATTATTGCGTTCACATGTCGCCATTCTGTCTCTAACATGTCGCCATTTTGTTATTATTAGTCGTAATTATCCTTTAAACAAAGTAACTCGTGTTGGAAAAGCTGTGCTAGCAATTGGGCTTGTCTGTCTACTTCAAGCTGAAGGTGTCAAGGAATTCGAATTGAACGTAAAGAAAATAATATCTACTGTTCTTTTTCTTTTTAACTTATCTTTCACTCGTACTTCTTTGCCTTTTTTCTTTTAATTTCAGCCAGTTTCTCACATCTTTTGTTAATTTATGTAAGTGAGAATTGGATAAAAAGACAAATTTGAGCTAAGTTCGAGTTTCAGTTTCAGTTAGGATTGCCAGTCATGTTTTGTCTACTGGGAAGTGGGCGGCTAATAAAAATCCGATGTTGTCTTTTGAATTTGATTCTCAAATAGTCGAATCGCATCCTGCATAAGGTTCCTTATGATTGATTACATCCCAGTGATGATTTGATTTTTCCAAGCGGAAAATCTAAAATTTTTATTTATGAAATTATTGTTGGGCTAAAAGCTTTCAATCCAATCATATCAGCGGAAGTGAAATCAAATAATAAATCAAACACACAAGAGACAACAATTTAACGTGGTTCGGTCCAACTGACCTACATCCACGGATGAAAAACAAGATTCACTAGTTATAAAAATTACAAACATACATCATATCATCACCCTCACTCAACAATCAATACTCATAAGATACTCCCAATCTCTTCTAGTCCTATGAAGTATTCTCTACCCAAACAAACACAAACTCAAACTTTTGTGCACCCTTTCAACACAACCAAACACATACCCATATGTTCCCATACATCATACCTATGTGAACCCTCTCAGTCTCCTCTAGTCCACTCACAAACAAATATACACCCATAAGACGTAGAGCCCCAATACTCCTATGGGGTGTCTATCCCACAAAACCATACAACTCTCTTACATCTTTTTTTCATACCTAACCCTATAGAGACTTCACCTATTTATAACCATACAAACTTGCCCATTAAGAATCCTTCTCCTCTTAGAATTCTTTTCCTATAAGTCAAACTTGCCTATTAAGAATCCCTTTCTTTTTAGAATTCTTCTCTTGCAAGTCAAACTTACCTATTAAGAATTTTCTTTTTCTTGGAATTCTTCTTTTGCAAGTCTTTTTGTCCATCAAGCAATATCTGACAAATCTCAAACAAATCTCTAACAAATCCCAAACAAATCTCTTATGGGATTTGAGTCAATATTCCCAACAATCTCTACCTTGACTCAAATTCCATTAATCATATGTCTTCATGCTAGACATGCTTGGCTCCACCTGCAATGAAAGTCTCACAATCATCTTCTCTTGTGTCTTCACGCTTCATACAAACCAATCCTCAATCTTAAACTCGAACTCTTCTCTTGAATCGAGCTCCTCTAAGCCTACTTCTTCCCATATCTCAAATCAATCTCTTCTCATATCTTGAACTGTCAACTATTCCCATGTCTCGAACCATCGGCTCTTTCCACATCTTCAATCTTTAACTCTTCTCACGTTTCGAACCTTCAGCTCTGATACTACTTGTTGGGGAACACCACAGCTCTGATACCACTTGTTGAGGATCACCATAGCTCTGATACCATTTGTTGGGCTAAAAGCCTCCAATCCAATCATACCAGCGGAAGCGAAATCAAACAATAAATCAAACACACAAGAGACAACAATTTAACGTGGTTCGGTCCAACTGACCTACATCCACGGATGAGAAACAAGATCCACTAGTTGTAGAAAATTACAAACATACATCATATCATCACCCTCACTCAACAATCAATACTCATAAGACACTCCCAATCTCCTCTAGTCTTATGAAGTATTCTCTACCCAAACAAACACAAACTCAAACTCTTGTGCACCCTTTCAACACAACCAAACATATACCCATATGTTCCCATACATCATACCTATGTGAACCCTTTCAGTCTCCTCTAGTCCACTCACAAACAAATATACACCCATAAGACGTAGAGCCCCAATACTCCTATGGGGTGTCTATCCTACAAAACCCTACAACTCTCTTACATCTTTTTTTCATACCTAACCCTGTAGAGACTTCACCTATTTATAACCATACAAACTTACCCATTAAGAATCCTTCTCCTCTTAGAATTCTTTTCTTATAAGTCAAACTTGCCTATTAAGAATCCCTTTCTTTTTAGAATTCTTCTCTTGCAAGTCAAACTTACCTATTAAGAATTTTCTTTTTCTTGAAATTCTTCTTTTGCAAGTCTTTTTGTCCATCAAGCAATATTTGACAAATCTCAAACAAATCTTTAACAAATCCCAAACAAATCTCTTATAAAATTTGAGTCAATATTCCCAACAATTATATACAATTACGGTTCCTTTTTTTCAAAGAATATCAGATAATTACTCTCAGAAACCACACATCTGTAATTGCTCAACTTTGTCCGCTTTTCAAACATGTGACACAGAAACATGAGAGAACAAGAGAGGATGACAACTGACAGGGTATTGTATTTCTGTAAGCCACTTAGTTGGTTGATTTGATGCACTCATTTACAATGACTGGGGGAAGTAAGATCAGGAAAATAATAAACGATTCTAAATATAAGTAAATTTTTAACTTAATACATATCTGTAATCCATAATTGCTTTATTGTCTGGGAAAAAAAGGTTCGGGCTCTATTACTAAGAAAACTCGAATATTATATCTATGATGATCCGAGTTACTCGATCCAAGTTGCGCCCAACACCTTAGCCACGAAGCTATACCTGTCAGCGGCTTCATCTATCTGCAGCGTAAAACTTCATAAAGTAAATATAGTTCAGGGACCGATGATGGCTAATAGATGATATGGCTGATAAAAGTGGTTACCAATTTATGTGTTGGACGTCCATATCCATGTCCGGCCTTACACTCAATGCGTCCGATAATCGGTTTAGTCTGGGGACTATTCTCCAAGCTCGTACACAGAACATATTGCATTGTCTGAAAAGAACAAAGAAACCGAGTACCTTTTCAAACAGCAAAATTATAGGAGGAAAGGAAGTAGGAAAGAGAGGAGGGAGAAAGAATATGTGTGAGGAATTTCAAGAGCTTGCTATGAAGGTGTATCAAACAAGTAAAACCAGAACGCCAATTGACGAGGAACTTACTGCCAACATCTTCAATGAATGTGATGGAACGACACGATCATCATGATCTGCGGTCAATAGCATGGTGGATGGATATTGTGACAGCTCACCAGGATGTTTCTCCCATGGTCTCCTTACATTATGTAATGGTGAGTACCTTGGAAAGAGAAGGTAAACTCAACAGTTAGTCCTACGTACAAAACCTTGTCAGAAGGTAATTCACAACCTCCAGTCATCTGTAAATGGGTAATAGAAATTTCGACTTACTTGATAAGCCATTGGAACTCTTCTTCTTTGTCAGAACAGCCAAAATCACAAGTCCAAGCATGGCCTTCAAAACAAAATTTTAATCAAAATATAGCAGTGAACTTTTAATTATATCAAAATAAAGAAGATAAAACACACAAACCAATAGTGAACTTGTGAAATCGCAGCATGTCCATCACACCAACATGAGCCAGAGCACAACCGAAAAGTTCAGGTCTCTGCCAAAAAGAAGAAATGGGATTTTTGTTGTTTTAACATTCTCTGATAATGAAAAACGATAAAGCCAAGGGGAGAAAAAGTTTTGTTATGCAAACTTGATTTATGGAAGCCCCAACTAGAAGCCCACCATTACTTGCCCCTTCAATACATAATTTTCCGGGCCGAGTATACCCAGAAGTTATTAGATACTCAGCAGCAGAAATGAAGTCATCAAAGCAAGTTTGCTTCTTGGATAAGGCGCCAGCTTTGTGCCATTCCTCTCCATACTCTCCACCGCCACGAATGTTTGCGATGCAGAAAAAGGCACCAAGATGCCTAGCAAGCACAATACGACTAACACTAAATGATGGTGTCAGACTGACGTTAAATCCACCATATCCATACAGCAAACATAGGTGTGATCCATCCATATTAATATCCTTCTTGCCAACAATGAACATTGGAATCTTGGTGCCATCCTTACTAGGCACGAAAACCTGAAACGGAATAAAAAGGAAAATAAGATAACATACCAACGGCAGAACAACCAAGTTAGAAAGAGGTCACCAACTAAAGTAGAGCAGCAATAATCACCTGATTGATTTTGAAATTGGAGCGATCAAATCCAGGCACACTAATTTCACGAAATATCTTCATTTCTGGAAACTCAATTCCTAAGTTGCACTGGTATATAATACCAGGAGTAAGAAAGCTAGTAAAACCGATGAAAGCCGTACTGTCTTCACGACGAGCAGAAATCCTATAAACAGTTCCTATCTCAATGGGCAACTTATGCAGCATGGAACCTGTTTTCAAATCCCTCACTTGGAGCACATATTTCACATCACTCAGATAGCTCACAATCATCTGATTTCCATTTACAGCACATGCTGATTCAAGCACATCTTTATCATCCTCTGGAATAACATCAATCCACTTACTGGGTTCCTTCAGATCTACTCGAACTAATTTATATTTTGGAGCACCTTTGTTTGTCATGAAAGTAAACGATGAATCATCATTAGCAACGGAAATATATTGCGCATCGAATTGATCTATCAACTTAACAAACGGGAGTGGGCCATTGCTTCCCCTAAAACCTTCAAGACCTTCAGGAAGTGCAGACATGTCGCAGTGGTACAGTTTATTAACGGGGCCACAACCCTCATCAATATACAAGAGAAGATACTACACGATAGCATTCAGAAGGAAATTGAAACAAATTAATGGAAAGACATCAGCATTCCATCAAATTGGACCTACATAGAAAAATGCTTAAAGATCAACTTACCCTCCCATCATCCGTCACTCTTCCACTGAACATGTGCTTAGGATTTTCAGGATCTCTCCAGCATAAAATGTCTTCAGTTTGATTTGCACCAAGGAAATGATAGTATAACTCATGATTAACGTTAGCACTAGTTTCTATCCCAGCATCAAGGTTTTCTCCATCTCTGCATCATAATAATAGAATTAGTATAGTTAATAAAAGATACTAGTCCTTCAGCCCATGAAAGATGTAAACCAAATCTAGAACAAAAATTCTAACATGCCATGATAGATGCAATTCTTTCAATAGATGAGAAACCAAGTCAGATTATTAGGTTAAACAACTTTACTAGGATAGACAGCATATGAGAAAACATGACAAGATCATTAACAAGTCAATATCTGACAGAATCAGAGGACAGAGAGATATTTCCAAGAAAGTAGAGCATAAAGTTTGCAGTAATTTAGTGAAAGATAAGTATGAAGTAACAATAAAAGTGAAGCTTTGTTTTGGGTTTGAGTTCAAGTACATTACTTGAACTTACTCAAAAAGATTGTGTTTCTATTTGCTCGATTTCTCAAATACTCTATACAGAAACAAACTTACACAGCGTTGGAAAACATTACACTTTAGTTCATTAACACGATCTTTTTCCTACTAAAAAAAACTTTTATACTACTGCTTACTTGGGCACTGGATAGCGGCTATAGAAAAACCCTTTGCTATCATGTGTCCAGCTGATATCCGAAAACTTTATCTGAATCATAAGCAGAAGATATTACTGTGAGTTCATGTTGAACAATAGTGAATAGACTCTTCACCACTAATGCGCAACAACTCACCCATGATAAACTATCAGGCTCCCCTGTTTTATCCTCAACTCGCATTACTTTAATCGTCACCCAATCACTTCCACTCGAACTAAGCCCGTAAGCCAAGTACTTGGCATCCTCACTAACAGAAAGCGCCTTTAAGGAAACTGTTCCATCCTCACTAAGGGTGTTGGGGTCAAACAAGACCTTTGGTTCTCCATGTAAACCATCCTGAATCCAATTGGCGGAATAAAAAAATAGCATGAATGCGCTGCTAAGCATTAAAAAAAGTGCTACTACTACCATTTTTATTGAGTTTTTTTTTCTGGCAAACCTGCATAAAAAGGACGTTTTGTGCTTGGAGCCCGGTGTTATGGAAATAAAAATATTTATTGCCTCGCTTAAACGGCACGGTGTAGCGTGGATGATCAAAGAGGTTTGTGATTTTCTTGTGAAGTTGACCCCTTATCTCGCACTTTTCAAGCACTGATTCTGTCAGAGCAACCTGTTTCTGTACAAACTCCTTTGCTTCTTCAGCATCAGAATCTTCAATCCTATATGTAAATATTACAAGAAAAAAAAACGAATTACTATATAAACTAAGCAAAGCACAATGTCCAGAAACAAAACAAAATGAAGGAAAAACTTTTGTGAATTTCCACCAAAAAAAGAGATTTGAGACAAAGTGAATTTGGATTACCATCGATAAGGATCAGCCACCTTAACACCATGATAATCATCAACCACAGACAGGTCCCTGCGAGCTATAGGATACTGCAAAGTGCCTAAGGGCTCCTCCAAGAAACCGAGAGAACCCATGAATACAGAGCTTGAACCTGGCAAATAAAACTACTTAGAAGTTGGAAGAATTAATCGTCGAAGGTTTTTTTCGCCTATAAACAAATTTATTTATAAGGCAGGCGCTTAAACCGGAATGTGTGATAGATGAAGTCATCTTAAGCCATTTCTTGAGGAAGTTGTTGGTACTGTGGGTGTTTTGGGGATATTACGCCCTTAAGTTGTCGTCATTGTGGCTCTAATATGTTGCCATATTTTAAAATTTTCCACTCCTGGTTGATTGGAAATTTTTTTAAAATTTTCTTGGTCTCCTGTCCTTTTAGGCTACGGTAGCAACTGCCAACTAGCAATTTGACTTGTCTGTCTTATGACTTTCAAGATAAATGTTTTCAAGACTTTAAGCTACTCTACAAATTTTTTCCTTGAAGTTTGAACTCAAAGGATTTTGATTTCCAAGTTACTTCTTATGCCAGAGAAATCTATATAAGATGAATCTAAAGTCAGAAGCTCGTTTAAAAGGACTCTGACTTCTACTTTGATTTGCTAGGCTTCCCACTAATTAGGAGGAGCCGCAGGATGAGCATATGATTTTTCTGTTGAAATCTAGCGGGTTCTGGTCCTCAGTAACTTTTCTCAAACTCTCTGCTTTGATTTGTATTTTGAAGAAAAACGATTCCTTGGGGCGGGGGATGACAAGATTTTGCTATCAAATTTTATGTAAAAAAAAATATTTTAACTTGTGAGGTCTTACAAATATGATTATTACATGTTTTCAACAAAATAAAACATCAAGTTTTATTTTAATATGCTTGAAGCAGAATTCTCAAAGGAAAAACTTGCTTGTCTTTTGTTCATGAAAACGCTATATAACTTCCAAAACTTTGTATGAATTTGAATGAGAAATACAACAATATATATATATATATATATATATATATATTAGGTTTTAGCTTTTCTAGAAGAAAGAAACAAATCATAAATTCAGTGATGGATTAAAAAGTGTTCTCTTGTAATATATATATATATATATATATATATATATATATATATAATCTACAAATCTACCACTTCTATCATAAAAAGTGTGTCAACGGATTTTTTTTTTTTTAAGGATGTCCATGAATATCTTTCCACACAAGGTGGATCCATCTCTCCACAAATTATTTTTTAGTTTTGGTCAATCACAATAATAAAAGATCTGGTTAACAGATCAATTAAAATTTGTTAAAAAATATATTTTTTAAAGAATATGGCACCTATAATCATTAAATTATAATTAATAAATTAAAATTTAAAATTATATGGGATCTATTAAAATTTTATATGAAACCTACACATTTGATAAACAAGTATATAATTTTTTATTATAAATGAATAATAGAATGATTATAATAAAAAGAATTATAAGTGAAATGTAATTTCGTTTTAAGTTTAAAATACTATTTTGCAAAAGAAAGTTAAGTTTAATACATTATTTTTTACCAAGTTCAATAAAAAAACAATGAATTAATTATAAGTTTTTTTCCTTAAATATAATAGTCATTAATATTTTTCAATAATTAATAAGGAATCTCATGTTAAGGTCCTGCTGAAGCAAATTGTTGCATTTCATAGTCAGCAGGTGATGGGATTGGGCCTTGATGAATGGAAACTGGGAAGCAGGATATGTTGGTGCAATAAAGTGTATAGTTCTGGCGATAAATGTCGTCAAGGCTGTCAACGAATAGGTGTTATTTCCTGTTTTAATTATTCAACAATAAAGTAACATCATCCACAACTCTCTGTCAAATGGAAAAATACTACGTGGACTTTAATATGGATCTTAAGCAGGACAAATCTTCTTCTAAAATTAGTATGAAAAAATATTGTTAAATGAACCAATTAAACACCTTGAAAACTGAATCAAGTCACAATCAGCTCATTCATATCTTTATTTGAAGAGTTTTTTAGTCTCAAATTATAAACATAATAATAGAGTAATTGGTAATGGAGCATGGACCAAGATTTACTTGTTCAAGTCTACATTTATGACTTGCAAAAGCAATCCCAGTGAATACTACAAAATTTATTTTTGGAGAACTAACTCAAACAAACTATCCATATCAAATTAAATCCATCAAAATAAAATAAAAAAATGCATTAAAAAAATATAAACCAAATCAAACAGTACAATCTAAAATTAATTTTCAATTTTCCTTTTTTTTTTTTCAATCCTAACATTAACCTGCACTTCATTCCCATTAACACCCTCGACCAAAGCCCCATCCTGTAATTAAACCACGACACTCATGAAATGTGAGCGCGTGGTAACCCATCTCCAAAATCGGTGCCAAACCGGTGCGTGCTAGTCACCGTCCATGAACCAACCTGGGGGCGTTCATCACCCGCCAATTAAAAACAGAAACCGCCACTGTTCCGTTGTGGGGACTGGTAAATGCAAACGGCAATATGAAAGCCAATGCCAAAAAAAGAAACAGAGCACAGTTTCCTTTGAAGGCTTTTTTTTCTTTCTCTCTTTTCAACTCCACTCCACTCTCTGCTGATGGTAACCATTACTTCAACGGAAAAAGAAAATCTTATGGTCCCGTAATGCTGGCAATGATTTGATAAACTTTTGGAAGTTTGTCGAGTAATTGATCTTGAAGAATGGGGAGCGTTTCGTCCGAAGAAGGTTTCCATCAAATAAGTGACCGGTCCGAGAGTTACAGTTTGAGCGCCGACGTGAGCGAATCTGAGAGCTCAAGTCGGTTTTCATGTCGTCATTTTGACCAGCATGATGGTTCGAGTTCTTTGACCTCTTCGCCGCTCGCGGGGCCAGAGTTCTTTGATGGTTCTGGTTTTACGGCGCGGGTTCCTGTGATGTTACCGGTTGTCGGTGGTAGACACGTGGTCATTCCTGCGAAGAAGGCGGTGGAACCAGAAGCCAACATGTCCGGTGAGTATATTAGGACTTACTAAATCGAGAGTTGAATTTGTTGCTTTGTTGAAGGTCTGGACGAAGTTTTTGTTAATAACGGTGAAGACCGAAGGCTTTGAGTCGAACATTTGCTGCATTTGCTAGCCTACTTAGTTACTGACGGTTGAATAGATCTGTTATCTATTTTGATCTCTTAAAGCTCTGTTTGGTTGCATAGTTTTCCGTTGGTTATTTCGCTTTAACTATATACTATAAAGCAGCAGCGGGTAAATAGGGAAAATGTAAGGCTAGAATTCTTTTCTCTCCAAGTTTTCTGGTTCAAAGCGCAAACAAAGTCTAATAAACTGAAATGGTCTTCTGCAGATTCTGAGTTGACTTTGTTATTCATCTTTGTTTTATTTGGATTAGTTGTGTTTCAAGTATTATTGATGTTATTGCAGAAGTAGATACGATGAAGGAAAAGTTTGCTAAACTTTTGCTTGGAGAAGATATGTCAGGTGGAGGGAAAGGAGTTTGTACTGCTCTTGCCATCTCCAATGCCATTACAAATCTTTCTGGTTAGTTCTTTAATCTGCATGTCATTTTTTGTTTTAGTTTATTTTGATTCGTCATTAACAAGAGGTTGAAATCTAAATCAATTTCGTATTTTTTGAAGCTTCTGTGTTTGGGGAACTATGGAAGTTAGAGCCATTATCACCACAAAGGAAGTTGATGTGGTGTAGAGAGATGGACTGGCTTTTGTGTGTAAGTGATTCCATAGTAGAACTTAAACCAGCATTGCAAGAGTTCCCAGGTGGGGGAACCTTAGAGGTTATGGTGGCCCAGCCACGCTCTGATCTATATGTAAACCTACCAGCGCTCAAGAAACTTGATGCAATGCTGCTAAGCATTCTTGATGGCTTTCATGATTCTGAGTTTTATTATGCTGATCGTGGGGTAGTTATTGCTGATATTGATGAAATTGAGACATTTGCCTCGTCTTCATCTTCTGGAAGGCCTTCTGTTAGACAGGAAGAGAGGTGGTGGCTCCCATTTCCTAAAGTTCCTCCTCCTGGTTTATCTGAAGATACAAGGAAGAGATTGCAGCAGTGTAGGGAATGTACACACCAGATCCTTAAGGCTGCGATGGCAATTAACAGCAATGTGTTGGCTGAGATGGAAATCCCAAATGCTTACTTGGACAGCTTGCCCAAAGTATGGAGACTGTGCTCTATATTATACAAAATTATTCCATGTGGCATGAGATAAAATATAGCGAGATGACAATGGATATCAGATGGGGAATCCATGAGACAAACTGTGTCTAATATTCATGCATTATCATGTTTCTGAAGTGCGTATTTATCGACTCACCATGCAGCTTGACTGATTAACTTTAGGAAGCTTATTATTGGTCATGCATCTTTTTGTTTCCATTTTTCTTCTTTGTGGGTTTCAGTGTCCTAATATATATATTTTGAATTTTTTTGCTTGTCTTCCAGTCTGGAAAAGATTGTTTGGGTGAGATCATCTATCGTTTCTTAACTGCTGACCAGTTCTTCCCTGAGTGTCTTCTTGATTACTTAGACCTGTCGTCAGAATACACTACTCTGGAAATGGCAAATAGGATTGAGGCTTCTGTGCATATTTGGAAACAGAAATACTTGAAAAGGCATTCAGTTCGTGCAAAGGTTGGAAAGTCATCATGGGGTGGCAGGGTTAAGGGTTTCGTTGGTGACATAGACAAGAGTAAGGTTCTAGCTCAGCGGGTTGAGACACTCTTACAGAACTTGAGGCTACGGTTTCCAGGTCTTCCTCAGACTTCTTTGGACATGAGCAAGATTCAGCATAACAAGGTAGTTCCTCTTAGCATGAATTAGTATTGAAAGCAATGTAGTTCTTGTGCACTATAACTTGTTTCCATCAATGACGTGTGTCTATATTCTTTAATATGTCCGTATGATTTAATATTTATCCAGAAGTAGGGAAAACAACGATCTGTTTGAATATCAATGGTATTTGAACGGAGTCGAAGATGCATATAATTTGGAAGTATGGAGCTAACTGTTTTGGATGAAATTGACAATGTGGCATGCATCCTTAGGTAGATAAAACGAAGGAGTGCTGTTATAAATTATATGCTCCTTTTTTTTTTTCTTTTTCGTATTGTTTTTCATCTTCCTTTGTTTTCCTAAAATGCTGTAATATGCTAAAGGTAAAGGGATGAAAATAAAATCCTTCATATTTTTAGGATGTAGGACAATCAATTCTTGAGAGCTATTCTAGAGTCATGAAAAGCCTAGCTTTCAACATAATGGCAAGGATTGATGATCTGCTACATGTGGACGATGCCACAAAACAACGTGCAGCAGAGGAGTCAATGTCTCTTCATGACCATGGGCGATTTGGTTTTGCTCTTCATAAGCAAAGGCAGATATCACCCACTCCTTTCTTATTTCAACATGCTCCTTCTGGGACTCAATGTGCAATGAGAGCATCCGACTCTTCAAATGAAATAGGTGAAAGCCCTCGTAGGAGGATTTATCATCGTTTAAATAATGGCAATCCGAGAGACCCACTGGACGGATCACTAGAAAGGCTAGCGTTCTGATAAGTGGAAGGAATGACCTCTTGCATCACCAATCTGAAAACCTCAAAAAGGTTGTGGTACTAGTTCTGGATAAAGATCGAGAGAGATAGCTTATACCATCACATCCCGCTGGAAGCTGATTTGTCCTCCTGAGCGGTAGTGAAGACGATTAGATTGAATCTTTTGCATATTCCTTTATATGATTAGACAAACAAAGTAGAGATTTTTCTGACACTCGGATATTAGTTAGGCTGAATCTCTTTAAAGTGTCACCATTGTAGCAGGAACTACTATTTTTTTTTTCTGTTGCAGTTGCAGGAGTAGAGAAGTATCATACATAAACAACCAGAACTTGGCCTTAGCGGTTGGGATAAATTCCAAGGTTTGAATCCCTTTTGCCTCGTTGGACTTCCTCATATTATATGTATAAAAAAAAAGTAGAAAACTATTATGTTCACCCCAGGCCATATTTTCTCCTTGAATTAATTCCCAAGATTTCTCTTTGCACTTTAGATGTGTGAGCAAACATCATAGGATTATTACCTAACCAGGGCAACCTTTTCAAAGGAAAATGTGTGTATATAAATATATATTTATCAGTGGAAGACTGCTGGAGAAAATGTGGCAATGGGATCGAAGAATCCAGTGCATATTTTCTTTCAATTTCTGCCGAAACATTGACGTTGAACAAAGTAGAATGGAAATGGAAATCTTTTATCTCATATTGAATTCTTAAAATTGGAAGAAGAGAAATGAAAAACCATTGGATCTGTGACTGTTAATAGGGCGGATCAACTTCCGCACAATCTCAGGAAGATGAGGCTTTGGCCTTTGCAAGCTACTGGATAACCTACACTCAAAATGAACTGCACCCAATCTCAACCACCTAACCTGCTTGTGCGTGGCCCAAACTGGCCTTTGATTTGTCTGTTATAAGTTTTAAGGGCCCAACTCTCTATTGCTGCAAAGAAGAATGCAACTCTTAAATACATTGGCAATTTTTTATGTTCCATATGAATTTCTACAACACAACTTGAAATTTTACTAAGAAATTTTAAAATATTCATCCAAAATTTATATTTGTTTTAAAAAAAGGTATTTCTAGTTTCTTCTTATTTATTAATATGATTTCTCAAACTATATTTTTTAAACCTTAATTTTTCAATCCGATCACAAAGTCGAGCTAGCTTTAATGGAGTAAGTCCTTCTTCCTACACAACACTATTTAAAGATTTCCCCACTTAATTTTTTAAAAATTTTTTTAATCTTATCTAAATGTTTTTAGAAAAACAGTCAATAAATATTATTGAACATAAATAAAACAAGTAGTAATTTCGTAGACACGTACATTTATTCTTTAATTACTTTTGTTATAGAGAGAGACGTGCTATTAATTCCATCAGATGGTGAAGTTATAATTGCCCCTTGATTCAGGGTCCAGAGGAACCAAAATGAAGGAAAGGAGATTTTACTGGTGAAAATGAACCCTAGATGCATACTTTTTGCAGGAATCAACCCCAAAACTAACCGGGAGGAAAAAACAAGGAAATCTAAAAAAAAAAACCTCTGAATGTAACGGTCCTCATTCGTTTTGAGTATCATTGAAGTCTTTTTATCCCCTTTTATTTAAGTCGTTACTCTCGTCCAAAATTCTTGACTCATTGACTCAAAGCAATTGCATAAGCAGTAAATAGTGGGTAGGCAATAGGCAGTCAATGATTGTCCACTGGCTCCACCACTATTAAGCTCTAGATCGCCGATGACATGCCAGGGTCCAGCCACCTCCGCAGTGTCGCTCCCAGCTTGTCCAATATCCTCCATTCTCGAAAGCTCATGAAAATCAATGAAGTATAGACCTTATGAAACTATCACAAATCACAAAAAATTGGTTAACTACTATCAAAATCCCATTTCGCTCTTTGATTTACTCTCCCATTTTCAAAAACAAAAAAGCTCAATAATTTACCATCATAGTTCAGAGATGAAAGGAAAGAATAAGCTAAAGATTAAAAAAAAAAAAAAAAAAGAGAATTAAAGGACTGAAAAAAATCGCCGTTCGGTTACCACAATTGAATTTGGTGATCATATGTTCATCCACACGCAAGGCAAAGGCCCGTGGGTTCACTTTTTTTTTTCCTGTTTGAATTTAACAATTAATTAATAGTATTATTAGCATTTCAATCGTAAGGCTACGTACATAAGGGTTTGGGAGAGTGATTTAATGTATACAGTACTATAGGGCTGCCCTAAAACAAAAAAAGCTTCCCCTACAGATTTAATTAATACTACTAGCTAGTAATAAAATAATAGATGACTGACATTGTGAAATTGGTGGCAATCATGCATAAGGCAAAGAACATAAAAATCTTTTTGCTTTGATTGTAATCTGATATCTGATAATCAACATTTTTATATACAATAAAAGTATCAGCCAGCTGTTTCAAAAAAAAAAAAGTTTAATTCAAAATTTTCAATGGAGTCATCATTTGCGTCTCATGAAACTCTGACAAAATCTTCTTGTTTCTGTCCTTTCTTTTTTTTTAGGATAATTATGCAATTTCGGCCCTTTTGTTTTAAAGGGTTGCTTGAATTTTGATTATTAATTCACAAATCCTTCTACTTTACGAATGGTTGTAATCATGGATCTTTCCTAACTAAGATACATACAAGAACAGTAGGCATCACATAAAACCCTACACAGAATAGAACACGATATATAGAAGTACTGAGCCAAACAAAAAGAGAAGTAAGCCTTCACGTATTATTAGACGGTTGGGAAATGAAGCACAAAGAGTAGAAAATTAATATGTAAAAAAGAAAAAACTAGCTAAGGTTTTCAATTAGAAATCAAAGCTTCAAAGGAGATCTAGAATATGACCAGATAAGAAACAGAAGGCTATGCATGACGTTGCTCAACCCCTCAGACCTCAGTAGTCAGTACATAACTGCTGACAATCAAACCCTGCAGACATCAGAAGAATGATGGAAATAACAAATAGAGAGTAAATTTTTCTTCACGCTATTTTTTTCATAATCCTTCTTGTAAAATGAAATAGGGATCAGAAGCTGCCATAACGTGATCAATCTCTTCACTGGAAAAAATAGCATAAAACATAGTAAAACTGTAGAAAATCGAATGAAGATAGCCATAAGGAAATGCGTGGTTTTTACCTGAACCATTATCAGAGGGAGGGAAAGGCTGGAAGAAATGCATCATAAATCACAAGGGTTTTACAAAGAGAAGCCAACAGAGCCCACTTGGCAATATGCCCACCTCCATGAAAGATCATAGGGGGAAAGAAAGGGCTTTTTCCATGATGGGAGGTGGACAGAATGCCAATAAACTCTGTCAGAAGCCCTTTGCAAAACCCCCATGAAAGAAAAAACCGGTTCTTGTATTCGCCACTGAATGACACGCAAAACACGCACACGGGGAGGAAGAGAAGAGTGTTAATGACAACAAGACAAGCCTGAGATTGGAGTAGGAGCTGATGGGTTCTCCCTTTTAAGATACAATGAAAGAAGAACAGTAAATAAGAGAGAGAGAGAGAGAGAGAGAGAGAGAGATATGGTTGTAATAAATTAAGGAGGGAGTGGAAGAAGAGGCGGTTTCAGACTAAAAAGACGGATAAATATAATCAGATTGGATGGTTCATTCCCCTGTAGGGGGGCATATTTAGAAGCATATGGTTTTTCTCTTCTCTCCTCTTCCCTTCCCCTCGTTACTGGTGAACAACCCACCTTTCCCTTCAGTCTTTTCTTGCGTTCCTCATCTCACCTCCACTAGTCCCCCCACTCTTATCACCCCCTCGTTTCTGCCGAACACACCCTCATAATACACCAACCCACTCACTCTCTCTCTTTCTCTCTCTGAAGAAAAAAGGGCTTTGTTTAGAGGCATCTTGGTTAGTATCAAACCAAATAATGACAAAACTAGAGAAAAATCGGTTTCATATTATAGCAGCTTTGTTTAAAGGAAGACATTGGTTTTGCTACAAGATTATGATCACAACCGCTTCATCCGTTAGAGGGCGATGGGGTCCTGGACATCTGTCACCTCCCATGAGCAGGAGATGAACAGGCAAGTATTTTTACCCATGGGGATTGAATTGAACTATCGAAGGCATGGACAGAGAACTAATTGAGCATAATTAGTGGCTTCAATGATATGTCTATAGTTAGAGCAACTAAAACTTTCATTTTATAGTTGTTTGTGTCGAGCTACAATCTTATATTATTTTTGAAAAAATAAGAAAAAAAGATAGTAAGAGATAAAAGTAGAGTATTTTTTATATTTACATTGTGAGGTCGGAATAAAAATAATAAAGAGATATAAAAATAATATGAATTTGCATTAATGCTGTTTAGACCTTTATGTTTTATAGATAAATAATGGGATATTATTAGGGGACAACAAGAATAGTGCTGAGCTAATGTGACATTAGATGTGTTAGATCGACCTAATATATCAAGTCGACATAAATGATAGAAATATATCTGATTGTCTATTAAAAGCTTCTAACAAAAAAAAGACACTATACATTTTTAACCACTAAACGTCCTAACATCCTATCCTTCCATCAAGTAGTTTAAGTATCACACCATTGGATGTATGATCAATACGTTCTATGTGGATTAGGTAGGTAAAGGAAGATGATGTGAAAATTGGTTATTCGAAGTCGACGTCATGGGGAAATCAGTATTGAAAGATAAATAGCCTTGATTCATGTTTCAACTTGGTGAGGATCTAATCTCGCACATATGTCTTGAGTTGAGTGCATAGCCAGTTTGAAGGTTGCCGATAGGGGTAAGAAAAAAATCAAAAAATTCAAAAATTGATTAAAAACTGTAGTGTTCGATTCGATTCGGTTCGATTTGGATCGAATCAATTTTTTTCTTATTTGGTTCAAATCAAGTTCAAATATTAAATGTATATATTAAGTTCTGATCAAATTTCGAATTGAGAGGTAAAAAGTAAAAAAAAAATCAAATCAAACCGAATTATATATTTTTCTTAGTTTTTATATATTTTAAATTTTTATAAAATAAAAATAATAATTTTATATCAAAATCTACTTAAATATATTAAAAATTTATATTAAAATAATATAAAAAAATTAAAAAATCGAATCAATAAAATTCAGTTTGGATCGAATGAAGGTTTGGTTCGGATTCAAATTGGATTTTAAATTTTCATAATATTATACAATATTTGAAAAAATTGAACTGTTATCACCTATAGATGTCGAGGTGTTAATTGTTTAGAATGGTCCGAGATAAGT